AATGCCGAGGGCAAAAAGGGGCAACGTCGATGCTTCCTTGTGAATAAACAAGCCAAGAGCAAAGAACTTGGAACAGATGCATCTCACTGTGTGCTGCTGCTGCTGAGGCAGGTAATAAAGCAAGTGTGACACCTGCTAATAAACATTTGGGATGACAAGTGACCCCGCTTGGCCTCTGCTACATTTTAATTTCCTCTCCCATAGTCCAGTACACGGTCCTTGCTGCATGTTTAGGCCTGCGCTGTACATCTTTTGCTGCCACTTCAATCCCAGCAACGGGATAATTCAATTTAACAAGAATCTGGGCCTGCGAATCTTATCTATGACACGTTATACCACAAACATGTCTCTCATCTTCAGTAAGTTATTTAAAAAAAATTGTGCGACAATACACCCTTAGGGTGAAATATTAGCTTTTACACTTAGACATAATTGATCAAATATGTTTAGTTGGTTTCACAAATGGGGAAGAGCCAATAGGAAATCTTGGATGAAGGCAGGGTGATTGGGGACCCGGGAGATAGAGAAAAACAAGAACACACACACACACACACACACACACACACACGCACACGCATTTTTGTACACTTGCGCATTGACACTCGTTTGCAGATATATTTGGAACTGTTGGAGCATTGCTGGTCATTTAACTGGATGCATAAAGCCTTTTAACAGTCTCAACGAAATAAAATTGTTTCATTACCCTTTACTGCGAAGCCAGAATTACAACCGTGCAAGAGGAGATGTGTTCACATCCAACCAATGCCCTTTGCCCTTCATTGCCAAATTGTCCTGAGATGCCAGGACAGAAACATTCTACTACTATGTCGCAATAAGCTTCATTTCCAGTTCGATGGTTGCCATGAGAATTTTTCATTGTCAGACAAAAGTTTCCACGGACACAAAAAGACAAACGCACAAAAGCCAAGAAAAAAACCCCATCAAAATAAAAATGTTTGTTACTTTCACAAAGTGTAGTGGTGAGACTATCAAACTGGAAACACTTTCTTTCCAACTGAGACATACAAGAAAAAAAAGACCAAAAAACAGAAAACAGGCGCAATGACCGTCATTCATCCAAACAAGTGACTTTTTACACGAGTCTAATTCAAAATGACGGTTTCGAGTTCGAACCTGTTCCCTTCACGGTGATTGAAAGCAAACGTCACCTTCCCCCAAACCCGATCAAAAGCAAAAATTGCACCGAAATAACCCACGTTCATGATGTCACATACACATTTGATATCACACCAGGACCCTTGTCCGCCCGCCGCCATTATTTCGCAAACAAAGTTACCAAAAGGGTGAATGGGACTGTAGGAAGGTCAATCACCAAATCCAAAACACCACACATGACTTACAGTTTGTGTTATTCATTTTGTCTTCAGTTGTACAGACCTCAACCGGCGCATGTTGAAATTGGTCGCATATTTTTTTTTTTCCTGCTCATCCCGCTTGTGTTCTTAATGAGATTAGCCGCAAGAGACGAGCAGGCTAGCGGCGTCGGTAATTCCAGCCGCTCTCCGAACGATGGGAAAGTGCGATAGCACAAACCCTCAGAGCCCCCGTTTGGAGCCTGGCAAGAGATGTGATGCAACGAGCGGAGTTTCAACAGGCTGAAATCAAGTTGGGATTTATTTTAGCCCTCCGTGTTGTTTTCGGCAGTGTATCTCTCGGGCCATCGGTCAGCTGAGGCAAAAGTCCCGGGGCTGCGTTCGCAGAGGCTGTAGCTTTGATCCGATTAATCATGAGACTTGAGAGGGATGACTAAGTTCATTCTGAACATATTGAAACGACTACCGGACTACCCGGAGAAAACCCACGCAAGCATTGAGAACAATTGCAAACTTGAACACTTAACCTCAAAAACTGTGAGGCAGATTAGCCGCTCCAAAGTCGCAGAAGTATGTGAATAGAACGTTTTTTTGATGTTTTTTTTTTTTCATTACATCAATTCAAGATAAACAAGGAAATCGAATCGTCACATTTTTTTTCTATCCTTGCACTGCAACTAATTATCGGCGCAACATTTTCAGAATATTTCAACGGAAAGAGAAAAGGAGGACGAAATCTGAGCAAGCCAGAGCGAGGGAGTGAGATTTACAGTGGATCAGCGACAGGATTTTGCTTTCAATCAAACAACAATAAATTCTACATGTCTCATAATAAATCGCCGACTGCAACGTTTACACAAGGGCGGCCCGTGTGCTTCATCCAAGCAACCGTGCTCCCCAACACACAAGAGGTGAACAGTTTCTCCATCACACGGTTACACGGCTATAAGTTCCCCGTGGCCCAACTCTGGTTAAGTGAGACGGAAATGGTCAAATGCGCTTGCGTAAACTCATAGTGGATTTTTTTTTTTTGGCATTGCGAGATGTCATCAAATGTGCCGTCATCATATCCCATGAACTGCTCGTGCGATCGCGTCCTGACTCATCACTTCAGGATTTGAGTCAATGAATGAACCATAGTGATGATAATCCCTCGAGACACAGAGGGACACCGTCACGCACAGAAGAGCGGACCACACAAGCGCGCAGGCGTGGGAGTGGAGGTGTCAGAACGAAGGGGCTCAAACAATGCATTCGAAGGGTGGGTTGGGGGGGGGGGGTTGCCTTGCTCGAGGGCACAGGGGGAGTTGTTTGAAATTGCCGGGAATTCCTGAAAGGGTTAAATGGACATACATATGGTGAACGATGGCAACAACTTAATGACTTTTTTCCCCCACATTTTTATTTTTTTACTTGCTTGATTTTAATGACAAATGACAGCATTTTTTTTCATTTTACTGCAATTGGAGATCTGCTTCCAATCTGAATCTGACCCTCCAGTGTCCCACCCCCCCACACTAAAGAGCAGTCAGGAAGTCCAAAGACGTGGGCGAAGATGTCACTGCGACGCGCAAGGTAAATTCAGGATGGGAGCCACAGAAGCAGATTTAGTGTCACAGGAAGACTTTGACACACTGAGTTGTAGTTTGTTATATTTCCAAGCAGAAATGTGACACACACGGGAGAGGCCGCTTGAGCCATTTTTTTTGGCTTAACATTACATGCTTAAACTTCCAGTTAACTTTTTATAGTGCACCTATCATTCTTGTTCAACCTGTGTTTCTGTCGTGCAGTTCGGCCTTGCACATTCCCACTCTTTTCGGTTCTCATGGCGGAAGATGCTGATAAAATCCCACAGATAACACCAAAGCACCCGAGGGCAGATTTTACTGGGCTGCTGTTGTTTATGAATGCTTCATTTAAATATTATTTAAGTCAGTCGGAGAAGTCATTTTGTATTTATCAAACTCCACATACAACCAATATGGCCTTGTTAAATTCAATGAATCTCGAAAGTTGAGTAAATTCATATATAGTGCTCTATACAATTGACTTGAGAGTAAAGTTGTCACGTTTTGCATGATGGTATAGGTGGAGGACCCTAAAAAGCAGGGAGGCAGGAGGAGTAGGGTGGACTGAAAAGTATTAACAAAAAAAAAACAAAAAAAAAAAACAGGAGTACATTGAAAAAAACTGAAATATACAAACAAAGTCCTGAAAACCACTTGAAACCAAAGTAACAAAACACCAAAAAAAAAAACTCCCAAAACCCCCAATGACAGAAACAAACAACATGACAGGAACACAACGATCTGACGACTACTGACCGAACCCCGGGAACTAAATACAAGCGAGGTGACGAGACAATGAGAAACACCTGGACAAGACACAAAGTGTTGAGGCAGCTGATTGGTTCAACACAAGGGACCCGTGTGACGAGAACAGGTGGGGGCACACATTTGGGAACAAAACCCAAATGTAATCCAAACAAATACATAACAAAAGTGTCTCGTATATAAACACAATGTGTCTTTTCATTCAATTAGAGTGAGGTAAGCTTTCCCTCATTTTTAGTGAGTTAGTTGGAGGCGTCAGTCATGATGTGCGACACGCAGCCTAAAAAGGCAGTGACAGAACATGCGGCCTTCCCAATAAAATGAGGCTGGGATTTCTCGGCTCGCAATGTCAAACCTAATCCAGGCCAACCAGACTTTCATTCAAATCCTGTATCTGCGGTCATACATGCTTGGTATGAGCTTCTTCCTTCTTGAGGAATGTGGATGTATGCGTGCGATTGCTTTTGTTTCATCCGCGCCGCTCGAGTGTCAGCGTTCAAAAGTTAAACAATGCAGACGCGGGCGGCTCGCCTCCTCCATCATCCTCTCCCCACTTGAAGGAGGGAACGCAAACACAGCTGTCAACTGAGTCATCGCTACTAACGTTCACAAAAACCCAGTGTGGTGTTTATGGTCATTATTATGATGGAAAAATGTAATCTATTCTCTCCTAGAATGTGAAATATGGAGATGCAGATACGTGATACCTTACAATTGAAAGAGCTTTGTAATCATGATGAAGGTACATGGGGTTGAAAAATGTGGAGAATAGGATTTCTATTGTTGCCATGGCAACCCAAATTTCGCGGGCTCGGACGGGTGGACCAGCCAGGCCAGGACACTTATCATGCTAGGTTAGCATTAGCAAAAAAGCTAAAGAGACTCTTCAGATTCGTGTGCAGTGTAGATGCACGCGGAAATGATCAATGTTTATTTCATGACATGATGTTATAAACAGACATTTGGTTAGTGTTTAGCACAAAATGTTTATTCATGTGTTGGCATTTTCAATCCCCCCCCCACGATGTCTTTGTTGGCCAAATGAAGCTACCACAATCACAATCACGTCGCTTTGTCCAAGTAATCATCATCTCTCGAAATCAGAGGTTATTGGTGACGAGTACAGGTTCTGCTGCATCAGTTATAGCAGACACACACACACACACACACACGCACACACACACACACACACACACACCGAGCGATATTACAAGAAGTGAGTTGTGGTGTTGACATGCAATGACCACATAAGCAACGACTGAAAAAATAGTCATATATTAAAAACAACAACAACAACAAAAAGACTATCTCAGCTAAGGGCTAAACATACTACTGTAAATCTATTTTAACTGTTGTTCCCATATATCCTGAATGATATTATCTCCTTGTCACAAAAGCGCCTTTGGACCGTGAGACAATTCAAAGTTAAATAAATACAAAGACGACGATGCAGAAGAGAACAAAAGAAGTTGATCTTGGACCTTGCCTGGGGTCTAACTTGATATTTTATTAACAAAAATGACATACTGGACCAGAACCAACCATAGTCAAGCGGGTACAGCTGCAGGCCTTTTTCTCTTCGGGGGTGTTGGTGTTATTCCACAACGACAAAACACCTTGGAGGCCAGAGTAATGTTGAGTCTTGAACGCAAATGACAGGACAATGACTTAATCTTAACTATTTAATAGATAAAAGGTTATACCAAAAAAAAAAAAAAAGGATCTCTTTGTCCCCATTTCTTTGTTTAGTTTGGTCAAAAAAAACTGTGTCACTTCTCTCATGAGCTGACGTCCAACTCACTCCCACTTAACTCCACACTCTTGAGGCTCGAGCAAATAGTTCCAACAACGAACTATTTTAACATACTATATCTTTGTATATTTTAAACAAGTGAAATCAAATATATGCGTAAAATAATCACGGCAATGATTATTAACTATTATTATCAAATGTGCAAATACAATAGCTCAACATTGCATAATGTATGGAACGAACAACAAAAATTGACCAATATTAAATTGGCTCCTATAGGGGGCCTGACCAATAGGGAGGCTGAGAAAATGATTTAGACATATATTTGAGAATATCAAATAAAAAAATGAAGGGGCTTAACGAGAACTACACGGGTTTTGGATGGGGGCCCAAACACCCAGCACCCTGCCCCCGACCGCCTCGCCCTGGTGTAGCACCATCCCTGAGGTGAAGAAGCATTCTGTTTCCATTCTTTTCAATTGTGGAGAAAAGTTCATAAAACACCTGAGATCGGTTTTAAACATTTAAAACTCGCAAAAAAACAAAAAAAAAACGTTATGCGTCACTACTTTGTTTTCATCCTAACTCTTATTTTTTTAATCAGCGTCTTGCTTTTATTTTCTTGACACTAAATGTGCTTTTCCAGTTTGCAGTTTTCTTTCAGCTTTTCATCCTGCTTTTCGTCAGCCTGAGGTGGATGACTTGCACGACATTGCTCAAACGTAAACAGAAACTGGTTTCTTTACCTCAATGCCATCGACGTCCCATTGACGGATGTTGGCGAGCACACTCTGTGGGTAGGTCCGTAGGAGAAGCTCCGCTGCCGTACAAAGCGTTCGTCCCCGCAACAAAGAATCACAAGAAAGGCCCTCCGAAAAGCTCGGTTCAGGAAGGCGTACAGGAAAGGATTAAGGCCCGAGTTGATGTAGCCAAGCCACAGCCATGCCGTCCATAACTGCCAAGGCACAGAGTAGTGAATGAAGGGGTCCACCACATTGGTGATGAAGAACGGTGCCCAGCACAGGCAAAAGCAGCCCATAATGATCGCCAGCGTCTTTGCCGCTTTTGTCTCCACGCGCATGCGGCTGTTGGCTACGGGAGCCGGCTCCGGGAAGAGGGCTCCTCCGGCTGTCCCGAGGTGGTCGTGCTCCGCCTGATTCGAGCACGTGGACGACCTCGAGGTGGCGATGGGGGCCTCCGTCCCGGAGGCCGGAGCCGAGCCGGCGCGTTGGAGGGTCTCGATCTGCCTCACGTGGCTCATGGCGGTCACGTAGATGCGTTGGTAGGCCAGGACCATGAGGGCCAGCGGCACGTAGAAGGCCACCGTGGAGCAGATGAGAGCGTACGGACGATTGACCAGAAACACGCAGCTCGTCTCGTTGGAGCCACCTGGTGAGATCCGCCTCTCTTCTATCTGGATGAAAAGGGAAAATATCAGCATGGGGCCAGTCTTCACATGAACTCTAATTATTTCCCGAATATTGTGGTGTTCACCATATATACTGTATATGCATCAGTCAGCTGTGCGCCAGCACCTACACTCCTCCCAGAACGGGTATGTGGATGTTAATTTTATTTATTGATTTTTTTGTGTCCACTCGGATTTCGACCACAATGTGCTTCCATGTCAGTCTAATCACCAGTGCTGGCCTGCGAAATTTCAACTCCACAGAAAAAAACCAAAAAAGTTCTGTTGAATTTACTCCAATTTCTTTCATCGAGTGGCTGCATAAAATCAACGTATCTGGATCCAGATACATTTTTTGAAGTCGATGTTTTGTCTTCAGTTGTATGCCGTTACAGTGATCCCTCGCTATTTCACGGTTCGTTTAATCGCGGCTTCAGTGCATCGCGGATTTTTTCAAACGTATTCATAAAAAATAAATAAATGAATACAATTTCATATACATGTAGTACAGTACTGTATATGTTGCTCTATGTGACTCGCTGTTGTTTTGCTGACTTTCGCAGCTTCTCGCGGACCGTTTGCGGACTTTTTGCGGACTTGTTAATTACTTCAGTCATGTAATTACTTCAAAATTTACTTCTACATGCATGGATACCATTAAATTTGGCCTTATAAATATTATGTACAGTATAGGTACCTATATGGAGGGGGGGGTCGCTACTTCGCGGATTTTCGTTTATCGCGGGTGGTTTTGGTCCCCATTAACCGCGATAAATGAGGGATTACTGTACATTTCTTTTTTGTCTAGTAGTATGATTGCAACACAACAGTGGCAGTATTTAGAGGTGGATTAGGTTGGGCGTGTCCCCACTGGAGGCCCCGGCTAACGTATGCAAGGCCCAATACTGCTGACTATCCGTCCATCCGTTTTCTATCGAGCTTATCCCATCAGTAAACTTGAGAGAGGGATGAAGGTAATAAACCGATGAGCATTTTATGTGGAATTCACATTTGGGACAATAAAAAAAGTATTAGTGAGGCCACATACCATGCAATGAATTAAACTTCTGTCGATGAATGAATGAAGTTAGCTCAATTCAACATGCAAATTTGCTCATGACAGAACAAATTATTCCTATTCGAATTGAGAGATAGATTGCTTTCATTTCCACACATTCCTATTTGATTCCATGGAAATTGTCCAACTTGGAATTATTAGCAAAATTCCCCCTGCCTAACTGCGGATTGGATGTTTCCGGAATGTTTACGGGAATTGACTGGAAATTTTCCGCCCTTTTGAAACACCGCGTCTTACCCAAAAAAGGTTCGTTGTGATCTTTTCTACACGGACGTTAGCTCACAAAGGTGCACCGTGTCCTCAGAAAGTAAAGGTAAAACGTCTGCACATCTTTTCCATTCTGCGGGTGCGCTTGAGCCAAAAAGTGAAATTTGCCAGCCACAAATCTCAGCGTGGGGTGAAGTACGGTCGGCCTTTGGTTCTGATGCATTCATAAATCAGACCTCTCCGGTGCATGCAATTTTAATATTTGGCAATGGTTGAATCCTTGCATTTTCCTTTCGCATGATAGCAATTTTGAATCGCCGATGGCGTAGCGGTACACTCAGCGGACTTGTGGGTGTGCAGCGTGGGATCGGTTGCCACTTCAGTGACGGTGTGGATGTGGGTGTGAATGGTCGTTTGTCTCGATATGTGCCCTGCGACTGACTGGCTCCCAGTTCAGGGTGTCGTCTGCCTTCTGCCCGTAGTTGCTAGCTCCAGCAACTCCCCGCTACCCTGTTCAGGATAAGCGCTGTTGAAAACGGATGGATGGATCGTACGTTGTAAACAGTTTGGACTTGTTACTGCAACTAACACCAGTAGTTCCTCCGATTTGTGTCTTCCTGATTTGGCATTTAACAACCTGAATTCCAAATTCTAACGCCGTTCATATGTATACCTGACCTAATTCTCCACAGTATTCATGACATATACGTCGTTTGGGAGCAGGATGTGGCTTAGGGAAAGAGCAAAAGAGACGTGTATTTCATTAAACGTGGCTGAATGAATAAGTCCATCTCTGCCCCCGCCCCACTCTGGGATTTGTGCGGCTCGTTTCAATGTAGCTCCGAAATAACCTGGCCCGCAAAACACAAGCGGACCTGCAGAAATCGTCCGCTCAAGTGCTGTCATTGCTCGCAGCCGGTGAGCCTCTGCTGAGGACAAAATTGTTTTGTGATCACTGCATTACTGTGTCATTGGTGGAGGGATTGAAAATGTTATGAGAAATCACGCAACGTGAGGCTACGGAGCTTTATGTTCCGTTTGTCCTCGCCGAAAGAACATCTTCCTCTTTAAGGAGGATATACCGACTCTTCGCCACTCTATCTTTAGTTGACCTTGGACCGGGATGATTTTTTTTTTCTCTCTGCGAGTCGTTTACCTCGTCCACTGCCACCGTGCCGAGTGAGTGAGGACTTACTATATCCTCGATGCCAATGGCGTTCCAGCTTTGCATGATAGGGAGGAAGGAAATGAATGTGGGGATGAGCCAGCAGCCACCGAGCATCACCGCCACTCGCAGAGGGGTCATCTTGTGTCGGTACACAAGCGGCTGACAGCAGATAGCGTAATACCTGAAACACGCACACACGCCCAATGACGGCTGACCTATTTTTTTCCATTCGTTGACACCCAAAAAACACAAACAAACAAACCTGTCCAGTGCGATGCAGCAGAGATGCAAGATGGATGCGGTGGTCAAGAGGACGTCCAGCGACGTCCGCACAAGACAGAAAATCTCGCCGTATTTCCACACGCCGGTCGTCAGCTCGATGGCCGCAAAGGGCATCACGACCAGCGCCACCAGCAAGTCAGCAAAGGCCAGCGACACAATAAAGTAGTTGGTCTTTTTCTTCCTGAGGTGTGACAAGGAAGAAAAAAAAAATGAGAGGATGGCAGCTTGCCTTGAGCACGCTGACCAGTTTTTAACTTCTTAAAGGCAGGTTGGCGCCACAAGGGATCCGGACTACCAGAACATACAAAGAAGAAGAATAAAAGTCATCGGAGAAGAAGAAATAAAACAAGCTAAGCTAACTGCTCAATGACACTGGTCTGGTCCAAAGGTTGGGTCGGATTTGTTCACGCTATTGTGTTCATAGGCATTCTCAGTGGATACACAGAACAACCAATTGAAACAGACAAAAAAAAAATAATACAGAAGTCTCACCGTAGATGTCGATCCTTGCAGAGCGCCACCATGACCAGCAAGTTGCCAAACACCGTCATGATGATGATGAGGGACAGCGCAATGGTGAGCAGGATGTTCTCCAATGACCTCAGGAACTCCTGCTGCTCTCGTTCTGGTTGTTGATGGTCCGTATTTGTCGCACCGCCCTTCAAACTGCCCACAAGGAAAATAATCAACCAAAGGTGAGTTTGCACTGTGAATTTCCTTACAGCGGTATTCGGAAGTATCACGTAAATATGAAGTATTGCTTTTCAAAATCCATATCAGGATGCCGTTACCGGGTGGAACTGGGCGGTTGCGGGAGCAGAGCTTTATGTTTGATGTCAACTCGGCACTTACAGTGGAAGTGACGCTGTGTCCATCCCGGGTCATCTGCCTCGAGGTCAGCTGAGGACAATCCTCTTCACCCCATTCTCCTGACCGGCTGTCAAAACACGAGATGTACCGGAACTATTAATCAACTGCATGCTGGTGTTGTTCCATGTTTGATATATTGGCCTCCAATTCAAATTCATCTGTGTGTTAGGTAGTCTTTGAAAAGCAATGCTAATGGTAGTTTTTTTTTTCCTGTGTGGAGTTTGCATGTTCTCCCCGGGCCTGCGTGGGTTTTCTCCGGGTACTCCGGTTTCCTCCCACATTCCAAAAACATGAATGGCAGGCAGATTGAACACTCTAAATTGTCCCTCGGTGTGAGTGTGAGCGCGGATGGTTGTTCGTCTGTGTGTGCCCTGCGATTGCTTGGCAACCAGTTCAGGGTGTCCCCTGCCTACTGCCCGAAGACACCTGGAAGAGGCTCCAGCACCCCCCGCGACCCTTGTGAGGATAAAGCGGTTCAGAAAATAGATGGAAGGATAATTTTACACAGGAACGTGAAGTGTACTTATACACTCACTTTCCATATTATTAGCTACACTAGCACCATCCAGTCGATTGAACGATTCCAAATTCCATGACACACATTGCCACATTTTGTTGATGTTTGCGAACAATCACGGGTGTAAGAATATGTCAAATAAACCAACCACAAGTAAGAATAATTCAATATTTTTGACTCTCTAATGAACCTTAATAAGGTCATCAATCTTGTTCTCCACTATTGGCAAAGTAGAATCATGATCAATATTGTTCCAGTCATACTTCTCTATGACAGTCAATCAAAATATCAATCGGGTAAATTACGTTTTAAAATTATCACCAGAAAGACTGAATTTCTGACATATCATTTGAGACAGTTGAATTTCTGCTTTTTTCTTTTTTTTTAAATATATGGGAGTAATTAGATGAAGAAAGAAATAAAGAAAGAAAGAAAGAATGACGAAAGTTAATTGATCATAACTTTAATGTGTGACCTTCACCCCAACAGATGAGCTTCATGTCAGTGTTTCCTCTTCAGTTTCCATCAAGTCATCTTTTGACAAACTAGGTTACACCTCGCAGAGAGAATGAGGAAGTACTAAAACGTGAGCGACTTGGAATCATGCACACACACACACACACACACACACACACACACACACACACTGAACAGAACAAGATAATCAGATCCTGCACAGTGCACACCCTGAATGAAGTGATTTGGCATTATTCACATCCCAATTTGTGTCACAAATTGTTAAAAAGCGGGATTTTGTCCTCAAGCTGAGTTTTGCCCCAGTGCTCCAATTTAATTTTGGGAGTACTGTAACAACAAAGGGGTTTGTTCGCCCGCCTTATCGGCTTTAAGTGCCGAGTGACTTCATATGTGTCTTTTCTTTATGATCCTAGTGAGGTGTTATCGCGCTCAAGTGTCAACAAAATGCTCCTCAAAGTGACAGACGGTGATCCTGTGAGTACCGACTTCCTGCAGATAGAGCACCATTTACAAGCATCATTTCACCATTCTCCCCCACCCCCCTCCCTCCTGTGTTATGCTCGAAGGCTTTCAACTTTCATGAGTCACTTTATCTATCTTTGCTCTATTTAAGCTTTGCTACATGGAGGGGGGGTGGGGGGGGCTCACAATTCTTTCTTGACTTTTGATCAGAAATCACTGGACTCTCATACCCAGCCGTTGTATCATTGCCTTCAATTTCCGCATGGCATCAGGCGTGAAAGGAAAAAAAATAAACACGTTTAAAAAAAAAATACATGCGTGCTGGAGGATGACGAGAAGAAGAAAGTGAGATTTCTCGTGGGATGGTCAGAGATGGAGGTGTCTTTTCACAGCTCATCGTTTCTCGTGTTACGTGTGACCGACACAAAAGTGGGGTGTATGAAGAGAGGAGGAAAAAAACGAACGAGAGAAAGAAAGCAACAAAGAAAGGCAGGGCTTCTTCAACATTCATTTCCTGACCGCTGCACCTTTGATTAACAGCGATGCCGTTCAACCACTGCATTATTCAGGGCAAAATTGAACCCCATGTCAATGCGACAAATTGCAAAGTACAATTAGTCATCAGGCAGCTGCAGGTTCAGTGGAGTCAACACGAGGGAAAAAAAAAAAACAGCGCGCTGGCGCTGTCGACGGCCACTGTGAGTTGCACGTTCCGTCCACATTTTTATATTGAGAGGAAATATACCAGTTGAGACAAAACGAGAGGAGCACTATATGCATATAAGCCCATTAAAAATTTATAAGAAATAACTACCGTAATTTCTGGACTATAGACCGCACCTGATTATAAGTCGCACCACTACATTTTTAAAGGAAAAAAATATTTTGTACACACATAAGCCGCACCTGTGTATAAGCCGCAGGTGCCCATATTGTAACATGAGATATTTACAAAGAAAGACGGTACACAGGCGGCCGTTAGAAAAGTCTTTCTATAAGCCGCTTCATGAAATAAGCTGCAGAGTTGAAAGCGTGTGACAAAAGTCGCGGCTTATAGTCCGGAAATTACGGTAATTGGCTCACCGTGATAAATAATACTATTCCATCTTAATTGAACATGGTTGTGATTGGTTCACATTCTTAAGTCAGTACTTAACCCTTTCATGAACCCTGTACCCTGATAACATGATAAGCCGTTCACTGTAGTAACCGCTGTCCCTCAAAGAGTTAAATACAAATACACTGTCACGAACAAACTCGCAGAAGAGTAGCGACGCACTCTAACTCAACTCAACTGGGTTTTTTTTCAAACAACCACCGCTGTACAGTAATCCCTCGTTTATCGCGCGGTTACATTCCAAAAAGAACCAGTGATAAGCGAAATCCGTGAAGTAGTGAACTTTATTTTTTGACAGTTATTATACAATACTTAACTATATATACAATGAAATCAAAGACCAAAACCTGTTTTCAGGCCCAATTACAAAAAAAACAAATGTTTTCGACAAATAATAATAGTTTTTGGAAATACTGTACTGTCAACACGCGGCGCCGCCGACGCGTTCTGATTTAAAGGGTTAAAAGCATTAAAAAACTGCACGAAAAAAATCCGTGAAACAGCGAAGCCGCGGAAAGTGAACCGCGTTAGAGCGAGGGATCACTGCATACAACTTGCCGTACACGGAGCAAACAATAATCCAAACAACAACCAACAACAAATCAAGACATGAATGACAAAGACAATCCAAAGCACAAAAGCAGTCAAACTAAAAATCTCATTCTGAGTCAAAAGCCGAAAAAAATAAAAATGAAAATAGAGCGCCTGATCTGTGTTAACAAAAAAACAAACCATGGTTTGTGGTTTGTTTGGAACAGCATCGGTTACTGCAAAGACCCCCCACCAGACAGGAACGTGCATAAAGCGCTCAATCCTCAGTGGACAATGGCCCTATATCGGCCAGGACAGATATTCCGCGGAGGATCTGCAGGGAATATATTTATTACCGGACGCAAAGGTCCACAGCTGGCTGGAGAAATAGATTTCAAATCAAAAACACAGCTTACGAGCCAAGGACGGAGGGCGCAGGAGGGTCGTGTGTGTGTGTGTGTGTGTGTGTGTGTGTGTGTGTGTGTGTGTGTGTGAGAGCGAGCCCACATAAGCTCCGTAGATGCGGCGTGTGATGCGCAAACAGGACAGTTAATGCCCGTGGAACAAGCAGGCAGCATTTGGAGACACTTTAGTCTGCCTAAAGACCATATTTGGCAGCTGTCATATAGAAAGATATTTGCGATTTTTTTTTTCCCTCCCTCCCAGTGAGGCTGCACAACGGATTGCGTTCTCCGGAGGGATGGGATTTTCTGAAACGCAATTCACTGAATGTTCCCTGGGCTATAAATCTCAAAGCTAATCTTGGCATCTGCTAAAATTAAACCAGTCAAAATTGTGATCCATTAATTACGGTTTTGGTCCTCTCAGTCCGATCGCGTTGCTGTGCCAATTTTAGACAGCCGTGTGAGGCCAGCGGAGCAGCAATAGTGACACAGGAGGAATTATATACTCACTGGCCACAATTGTAAGTACACTTGCAGCATTTTATTGAGCTGGTGCAAGAAAATGTCAGCCTTGTCTTTTGAAATAAGACAACCAAAATATCAGCGAGAACTCTCAACGTGACGTGAACATAATTGCTTCATTTTGCTGTGATGAGTGTGAAGCGCCAACGAATGTTTACTCATTCAATAGTAAGCGTACCCAAACGAGGTCAGACCAGACTACGTTAATATTCATTAATGAAGAAAAAAAGTATCAGTGAGAAAGCAACACTCTTTACCCAAAGCTCAAATTGCAAGCAGACAGCGTTCCAAACAGAGAGATTGGTTGAATAAAAACTCCTCAAATCTTAACTGATTCCTATTAATAGCCACAGAACAAACACGTTTTTTGACAAGCTGAGTCAAAATGTGAGTAAAGATATGGCGGTTAAACAATTTCCTGTGTAAATGGATTTGTTTGACCACTTCCTGAGCAATGCAACCCATCTTATTTGACTGACTGGGTCGGGTGAAAATGGAACATTTTGACCACTTTCTCTTTGCTTTGGCATTGTCAGGCAGGAAAGTGGCATCCGGCAGATTGTTCGCTCTTTTCCTCCATTTGCTCTAAATTGCCACGAACGCAGTGAGCTGTAAAACACATCCATTTTCAGCATTTTTGGTCATTCAGATTCAACCAATTCTTGAGATATTCAAATGGTGTTACGTGAGTCCTGCTGGTAGAGGCAGAAGAAGGCAATAAGAACATTTTTAAAGCTGATGCGTCAAAACCCCGAGACTTAATTGGAGACAATTACGCTGAATTTTGGGGGACCAAAATATCCATTTTTATTCACTTCTGTAAAACTCCTGTAAGAAAATCGACCACCTGGACTTGGCGGGCGTACAACATTTCCACGCATTGAAGCTGTCACACGCTAAATTGACCAGACAGTGACGATTTCAAGACGTTGAAAAACGTCTAACGATGTGTTCATAACGAAATCCCGTTTGCAATCATACCCAGCAGAACTAAACGTCATTAGCAAGAATCGCGGTAAGCTAGCGCCAATTTTTTTAAAATTTTTTTTAAAGAGGCGAAACAGAAGCCGTATCTTGAAATACTTTTAAATCCGACTGAAAAAGAAAACATCTTTGAACACTTCTTTTGAATCAAATGGTCCCAAAAGTAACTGTACTGTATATTCATAGGGTCGCTTTTCGTTTGGGAGGGTAGTGGTCCCAAAAGTGACTATACTGGATATTCATAGAATATCATGGGAGATATTTGGGAGGGTAAACTTTTCCGTGCCTTCGCCAAAACGTAGTACATGAACGTGCATGCGAATATCGCTCTTCTCTGTTACATCAAATGGAGCATCATGAAATGCCCCCGCGATGAAAAGGAGCATGTCTCGTGAATAAAGTAGCAAGGCTGAAGGTGAAATGTCAAGTGAGAGGGTAATCGAGCATGCAGAGCTCGTCACATGACGCTGACCGCCACGCTGGATGGGGCTCGGAATGACTGGAAAATAATGAAGACACGAATGCACACTGTGGGAAGTTAAAGCATTCAGTCATCGCCCATTTTAGGTTGGACTCATCGGGGCAAAGTCGTGGTCAAAAGTCGACATCACCTGGGAAGACCAAAATTAACCTTCGACATGAGTAAAAAAGTAATGTGTATATTTTGAGGCAAAGTCAATCCCCAGACCTAAACCCTATCGAGGAAATCAGTGAGCAGCCCACTGGACAAATCAATCTAAATCCAAGTATGGCAGTAAGATAGAAGTCTTAAAACATATCAAAGGTGTAGCTGGACTGTTGCGATGCTCCTGGAATCTTTGACAACCAAGCCCACAAGTGCCTTATGACCGTTTTCCACGAATATCTGTGAGTGCAAGTTAAACCAACACAAAGCACCTTTTCCTCATACTGATGCTAGTAAATCGTTCTTCACTGGTATTTATTCCGGCTAGCGGCATTTGAATGCGTGCAATTGAGCCCATTTTGCTGATTAGGTGGAAAGCAAACTTCACTGCTTGTCCCAGCCTAAGGTGGTGAAAGGATTAGATTGTTTTTGTTTGATCAAATAATTACAACACAAAGACACACCCAGAAAGTCAACCGAAAAGATGAAAAATACACACATTTGTCACGCGAGTACAGTAAGACTGACAGCACGTACAAACTCTACGCTACTCTACTCGTTTTCTAATTGTTTTTGTTCCAGTCCTGGCATGTGCTACAGAAAATTAGCGTGATGTATTTTACAAGAATTGCTGTGTTGCCTCTTAAAATGAATCGTGGAAAATGACAATTGTCTTATTTGAGGGAGGCATTTATTATTTGTATGAATATAAAAAAATCCACATTTCTTTCAGGTTAATGGTGAAATATTAAGCTCCACTCCATGCAGCAATATTTGCATTTTTTTAATGGTTTTTTTGGGCCGAAACATATTACCGGTATGCACTTTTGAAGATAATTGCTGGAAATATGAATAACTATGGACAAAGACATACAATAATTGTGGAGATGTTGCGGTCAACTGTTTTTCACCATTACGGTGTTCCGCATTTTTGGGCAAGGCTAAAAAGCGGCCCAGAGACGCACTTGGGTTGAGCGAACCGCGCCTTCATTCGCATCAGTGGTTCACTGTTGCAATTGGGACAAGCATTTAGCGAGCTAGCTATGCCTACAACCCGGAAATGCATCTTTCCTTTGGATAGTGCATCGGCGTGGCCGCTTTAGAGCACCTCGTAGTTGGCCGCGAGTGCGTGCATGTCTCGTTGTCGCTGCATGGATAACACCGCGGCGACTTGGTGTCATGAACTCCAACCTGTGGATTCTGTTAAGTGCTTCGCGAAACATCAATGGCATAATTTGGAACTTTACAACATACTGACACAACACGCCTCAGAAAGGATGTCACGAGGCAACTAAGAACGACGTGACCTAAGGACAGATGGCAGAGCTCATCGATTCGCCGGAGGGGGGTTTAGTACCTTGCTCAAGGGGACCTTGGCAATGGTCAAAAAAAGAAAGCAGTCGAAACGTCCATTTGGTTCAAAACACTTATATTAACACTGGACAGATTGTGAGCCAATCACGTAGAATGTTCGAAAAATAGCCATTCACACTCACATTCACACCTATGGAGAATTGCTTGATTTATTTTTTTCTTTAAACATTAGCCACACACACACACACACACACACACACACACACACACACACAACACACACCACACACACACACACACACACAAAGTCTTTTGCACTGGTTTAAAGGATACCGGTATCTTAAATTAACGTGTAAAATCAGGCAATTAACATTATTTAGCGACTCCGACATGGTCATCATTTACTTTTCACGGGCACTTTCATTTGTGCTCTTCTGCATTGAGAGTTACATCGTTTCAATGTTACAACCTTGTACTTGGTTCTTATACCATCTGTGCCTTTATGGGACCTATCCTGAACTTTTGCATATTATTTTACAACCCTTTGCTCGATCCTTCCTCACCAGAAGAATGCAGAATGCCAGCATCTCATGTGATTGTAAACACTGCTTGCACTTGCTTTGCATGAGCACAACGGGGGTCACAGCGACAATCAAATGATCGGCATCAGATGATGCAACTTGACAAGGCATTCGGGAGACAAAAAAAAAAAACTAAACAAAACTGACAAGTAATTTTTCTGAAAAATAGAGATACTCCACGTCATCTAGGACTATATGGATTCTCTTTAACATAAACGCCCGTTTCACAAACACCCTGTTGTGTACATGCTTACCTATACAAACATCAACTAAAAGAATTCTGGAACATAAGTAAACCCAAAAAAGGTCACCTTCAGTTCAAGCACGCCATGCGGGGACAACTTTATGAAGGCGAGCCCCATATAAAACTGAAAAGCCTTTCCAGTTTTTTTATGAAACCGGCTCTGCTTGGAGCCCATTAATCTCTTCTCGTGTGCACCACTGCACTTTGTTCTCTTCGGAGCTGTCTACCACCTGCATGACAAATATAGAGCATACTTCTTGTCTGATTGGAAAGTATCTTTGCTCCACATTTGTGATCTAAGCAGAAGGCAGCCCATGATAATTTAAATGACAAGATACGTCCATCACTACTGTGGGGCGTCAATAAGCAACAAATAGGACAATGTTGCAAAAAATAAAAAAAATAAAAATAAAAAAGGCCCTCAAATGTATTTTATAAATCATTTGAGGTTAACAGACAGCAATAATATGTACGAGAGTGGACCTGTAGAAACGTTGGAAGTTGATTGAGAGACGACACTGAAGTTCTGTTCCGAATGCAGACTTAATGACTGCTTTGTAAATGAATGACTTTTTCTTTATCTGTACATGCTGCTTAAGTTGAAACACCCCCCATTCCCCCCCCAACCCTCGTCCGCATAAAGAATGTCAGGTCAGTCACTCACCTGTGTCAGGCACCTCGCCTCCTTTCTTCCCATCCAGTTGTGTTGTGATGCTCTCTTACTCCAGCTGGATCGTCCACAACCGGCAAACCGGCGAAGGGCTGACTCTTGCCAGAGAAAGAGAGAGACTAGGACAGAAAAATGTCATCAAAATGAAGGGGGGGGGAGTGTGGAGGCGTGCGGCGGACGGACTGAGAGGTGAGCCCGATGCTGCTCTCTAGTGGTTGTTTACAGCTATGACCAGATGCAGTGGTTGACAAACTTGACCATCTAAAAAAAAATAAAAATACTTAGATTTAAGTGCCACCCTTATGCCCAACATTAAAATACAGTAGAATGAGAGGCTAATTCATATTAGTGTACGTGTACTGTGAAATTATGAGTTTAAAAAGTAACCGTGTGCTTAAAAACTGGAAAATAAAAAAGCAGCCGTACTCTTGCTGGAATACAATTTTGAGGCTACTCTCTCCACCTTTGCTCTTCAGACTGAAGCCCCCTCCACTAGTGATTTAGAACGTCGGTTAGTGCTAACATGAGCAGTGCAGTGCTGGCCTCTTATGGTCAAAATTCATTCGACTCTCTTCATGAATGTGCATTGCTTGCACGACTTTGCGTCTCTTCCTGGGGAACCACAAGTAAGAAATTTGGATGGAATAAGATGCCCAATGTCCCATGAAGCCGGTCCAAAGAAGTACAGTGTGTTGGCTTCACAGATGCAAGACAGGTACACACACACACACACAAAAAAAACCCATGATCTCATGAAAAAAAAATAACTTGCACTTTTTTAAAATAGGTTTTTCGAAACCCTTTACTTGACGTTTTCCATTTTGTAGATTTAAACAAACACCACTGAGCAGTGTTTATCAGGCCAAACTACACCGGAAATCAGTTTTTAAATTCAAGTAAGCTGTTGTTGTTGGTCTTGATGGTCAAGCCATCCATCCTTAAACCTGTTTATTTATCTTCACGAGGATCGCGGGCGTACTGGAGCCTATCCCAGATATCTTCGGGCAGTAGGCGGGGGACACCCTGAACTAGTTGCCAGCCAATTGCAGGGCACACATAGACAAACAACCATTCACGGTCACAATCACAGTAAGAGACAATTTAGAGTGTCCCAGTAACCTTCCACGCATGTTTTTTTGTAATGTGGGAGGAAAATGGAGTACCCGGAGAAAACCCATGCAGGCACGGAGAGAACATGCAAACTCCACATAGGAAGCCGGAATCGAACCCAACACCTCTGCTCATCTTTTTTAAATCAACAAACTCAGTCAATTGAGTATGAATATTTTATTTTCCAAACAGCATTACAAACAATTAAAGGAAGATGGAGGAAATTAACCCTAAATTTGCAAATCATGGCAATCGTGGCAATAAAAGGTGTCACATATTTGCATACACAGTATACAAGATTAAAATCCCAGTGTTAAAACATGTCGAAAGGGACTTTTTGTGTTGTTTTTTCCAAAATAACTGCAATGGATTCCAACTTCCCAGAGATCAGTGTCAGGATAAAGACCCAAAGAGGAAACTTGGAAGTGAGACGTGGTTCACGTGCGCACGCGTTGTGGCCAACGGTCACGACTCGGGCTCCAGGCGAGGAAGCACAGGGAGGATGAGGTTGCCGAATGACGAGTCCTGAGTGATGAAGAAGCCTGACGAGTGTGCGTGTGCGTGCTGCGGGAAAAGACGCAGATAAGCAAATTGTAAACTACTTCCGGGTTACACTTTCAACTTTTCGTGTGAGAGCTTCCTAATGTTTGACCTGCAAGGCAGCTTTCTGCTGGGCAACAATGTGCTGCTGCTCGGCACTATCCCGGAAGTCTTTCATGCTGTGACGGGCTATTGGGATGCTGTGAAATGAATGGAAGAGAGCATCTTATCAGTGGAGTCTTACAGACGATTATCAAATCCCTGACAGTGGATCCTTAATTATTACCGTTATGGTCAACACAGAAAATGCCAACTGGAGTCATTTGTGTAGGCGTACTTATTTAATGCATTTTGGAAATCTTGAGATGCTTCACTACCAACCAAAACCCATTTCCTGATCCATTTGGACTTCAAGTCCTAAATACTGCAGTAAAATATCCTCGGTTGCGAGTTGTTGGGAACTGTCGCGATACCTGGCTCCTGGAGTGCTCACAGTCTGATTCTGCATTAAGCGCTCCCTTTCTTTCTCCAGCTCGGCCAGGATTTGTACTCGGGCCTTGTTCTGGAAGCCTGCGTGAAGTAAAGGAACACAAATAAGGAAGGCAAATCAGCACCAGTGAGCATCACTCATAAACAAAGAGCACTCCAAGGCAAATTGAGAAATTTACAACATCCACAATCATTTACAGCATGCAGCGCACAGACTATTAAACCTACACCCTTTAAATCTTAAAAGGAAAGTATATGTGGCCTCACTTGGTTCTGTCTCCTGCAAATACGTGGTACGGCTTTCACGACCATAACAAATGAATCCAGTGACTTTCTGTGGTGCAAGTGGAGACTTCTGAAACGTTTTCACAAATCTCCAATTACACCACTGCAACATAATGTTCTATCACATTAGCGTTGGGACACTTTGGTCCGAGGAAGTAATTTGCGAACGCGTATTAATGCATGATCCGTTATATGAAAATGACATCATCGATGATGTGCAAAGCCTCGCTGTTTTGAGAAGTTAGTCACGTGTTTGGTGCATGAGTGAACAGATGAACCCGAAAAATTTGGTCGTTAGCGTTTTCATCAAGTGTAGTTCTTTAGTGTACAATACAAATAATTTTCACCAGTTCAGGAAACATTTGCTGATGATTTGCCGCCTGCTTCAAGATTTCACTGAGATTAGTTACACGAGCAGAAAGGTCAAGATAATTACCCTACACCTCGAAGCGAGGCTACGGAAGGACAACGCGCTAAAACGTCGTTTTCGCAAAAAAATGTAAATTTACCTGGCCCCGAAGGATTAGCAGACATGTTGCCGATGACAAAATAACGACAAATGAAGTTAATAACCGTATACTAGTGGATATAAGTGGTAGTTTCCCCCTGTCGACCCGGCGCTCTCCTACTCGTGTATGACAACACGCCGAAGATGCGCCCGAGCCCTAGTGAGGTGTTTGTGCTAATGCCTGAACAAAATATGGCAAACGGTAAATCATTTTACGTAATGAAGAAAAACAATCATTTTCATTTATGTATACTTATAACGGTACCAAATTTGCATTGCAAAACAACATAAAAGTAATGTAGATCAAAATGTTACATTAATGTTGCACACAAAGTCTTTACATGACGGTGTTTATGCCTTTATGCAAACGTGTTCATGTCGACGAATACCCATTAGGCACAAATGATTAACTACATGCTTGTACATTTAAAGCGAACGTTAGACGTCCTGTTGTCACACACGATGTTTACTTCCGGGTTTTCGCAGTTTTAACCTCCGCATCTGCGCTGTGGGTGTCAGCTGACTATTACGACCAAACAGCGGCTTCCAATCTCCGTTCCTAACTACAAGACGGAACACAAAATCCTTTCCCCTGTCCGCGCAATCGCAACTTTCCGACGTAGACTGGACTGCTGCTCGCCGCGACTAGCAGGCGAGCCCCCGCGCCGACCGCACGATGAGCGTCGGCGCCCAGCGAGGCCTGGCCAGCTCGGGGCAGAAGCACATCGCTGAGATTCTACACCCGTTGTCCGCCGCCGACGAGTCGCTGTCCCCGGGGCCAGATGTCACCGTTACCGCCGGGGGCGACAAGGTAGGCAGGACCCAGGCTTTACCCAAGCCGTGCCTGGTCGTTATAACACAAAAACAAGCAGCGAGGATGTTTTTTCCGAAACCTGTTGTTCACGTTGAATGAGGGGAATATTTGAAAACTTACCACTTCCAAATACCAATCAATTACCACGGACTAAAACAAACCAGTCTCTGTTCAGTCTTTATAAATGTTGTTATTATGCTCGGAAGGTAAGTGGCAGACAACCCTTCCTTAAACCAGCGACAGAATAATTAACACTACAACGATACAGGCAGACATTCTGCGAGTTTCATGATTTTCATGATCATAGCGGATCTGATGAACACAAAATCAGTTTGTAACGATGATGACACTAGTAACAAGCGAACACTAAAATGACGTATCCTAAATCTGAATGAATGAAATATTCTACTTGAATACTTTGTTCTTTACATAGTTTTATGTGCTGACAACAAAATCACACCAAAATGGAAATCAAATCTATTAACCCATGGAGGCCTGGATTTGGAGTCACACTTAAAATTAAAAGTGGAAAAACACTACAGGCTCATCCAACTTTGATGTATTGTCCTTAAAAGAAGTCAAAAAGTAGTGGGTGTGGCCTCGACATGCCTGTATGACCTCAGTACGACCCCGTGGGCATGGTTCTGATGAGGTGGCGGATGGTCTCCTGAGGGATCTCCTCCCAGATCTGGGCTAAAGCATCCATCAACTCCTGGACAGTGGTGTGGTGCAATGTAGTGTTGGTGGATGGAGCGAGGACATCATGTCCCAGATGTGCTCAACTGGATTCAGGTCCGGGGAACCTGAGCAGTGCTGCACACTTATCGACTCCATGCCACATTTCAGGCCAAAGTAGCTCCAAGTAAGTATTGAATGCTGTACATGTACATATTTTCACATATATGCTCTTCGATTGGCCAACATTTCGAAAACTCATTTCTTTGTAGAGTCTGAAGTATTATTCGAATTTCCCAGATACTGAATAACTGTACAGGATCGACATTCACACATCGGTCATTTTTTGTAAATTAGCAAGCCCAGATCAGGATCATTTGGTTTCTGTGTGTTACTTCTTTTGAACTGAGTGAATGAGGCTTGCTTGTCCATTCACTGTGATACAATGATGCAACCCAATGCAATTATGGCCGCTTTTATTACAAGTTAGGCTTTGCGCCGCAGTGTAGAAAAGAAGACCCAAAGTCACAACCAAGACCGAGCTCGGCTTGGCGCCGAGAGGGCGAAGGAGAGTGAATGCATGTGAGGGCGTGGGAGAGAGCCGGCACATGGGAATGTAATGTGCAAAAAAAAAAAAAATGTAGGAATTCAGCCATTTAAGTATTACAGGTTGTAGAGGTTTTGCACAGTCTTGTGTAAACTTTCAAGCATGATCAGGATTCCAAAAATCTTGTATGCTCTCGATCATATGTTGTTTCTTCAAGATTCTGATGGTGTGTGGATAGCAGCTTTTTTTTTGTGTGTGTGTGTTTTGTTCTGGCTGCATCTTGTCCGTAACATCTGCCCGAAGTTAGAAGTGTGAAATGAAGCATCTTAAGAGCCAAAGATTGGAATTGTATCACTTGAACCCCGCAGTGTAAATCTAACCTTGAAGAGAGTCGTAAGCATGCATGTCTGTCTAGTACAATGACCTACTGGACCTGTGAAAGACGCTTTATCTTTCAGTCCTAATGAAACAAACACACACAAGCACAACAACATTATCTTTTGGTATAAATAGCTGCCGTTGTCAGTGTATCGCGCAAATGTTTGGCTCACATCGTCCCAGCATTCAACTCAGTGTATGCAGATGTTGCGTCACATGATTTGGTGGTGCAAGCATGCAGCCGCGACCTCCACAATCATCTCATTCACAGAGAAAAACAACTGCAACATTCTATCACTTCTTTGTCTTGATTTTTTTTTCTTTTCTTTTGTCCCCACAGGAGGCAGGACTGTCCAATGGCACGCCAGTGGACACGCCGAGTCCCGCCTCAGCATCCTCGCTGTTCAATAGGCTGCAGCTGGACGACGACATCGAGTCAGACCCCCGGGACTACTACGACTCCACCGAAACCCGGGACCTGTTTGTCACGGTGGATGACCCGAAGAAGCACGTTTCTACAATGGAGACCTACATCACCTACAGAGTGTCCACCAAGGTCTGCTTTTGGATGTTGTCACGTGTGGAACATCCATTTTGGATCGCGAGTTGATCTCACCATATAAAGGGATCATATTTTTTTCATTGGTGATTTTGTGAATGATCTGCAATCATTGTCAGCTTTTGCTTTTATTTGAACATGAAGACGCATATTTAACATGTAAGCGGAGAAAGCTGTAAAATCATGACCATCTCAACACGTCATGTTGTATCAGAATGTGAGAAACTAAGCATGGCTGATGGAATACAAATTCAATTTTGGGAAAGTACTTTTCCCTTCATTCCATTACAAAAATTATTCAGTGATAAATTCGATCATTTTGATTTACCGGACCGACGCCCTGCTTGACCGACTTGAGAGCGCCATCGCCATGCAGGCCATTTCCATTCTGCAATGAAATAGAGGTGGGGAGACAATGCCAGGAGTCGCCCGCTAGCATCAGGGCAACCGTTGCTATGTGCTTTAAGTGCTTGAAAAAGCTTGAACAAATATCACCGTCAAATATAAAGGCTGAGTGTTAATTAAGAGAGCGGATGCAAGGTCTTTTAACAGTGGCCTGTCAACAAGACTGCACGGTGGGCTCTACATGAGCCCTCATGTGCATCCGTGAATGAAAGTCAGCACACCCTTGTTAAAAAAAAAAGTTAAAGTTTCCTTATTGTAAAAATCGGAAATAATATCAAAACTTTAACATACAACACCGAAGGATTAAAAAACAACGTTTTTTGGTCTGATAGAACAAAAGCTGTGAAAAACAACATTCCCCATCACCGCCATTTTTTGTATCTGTTCAATCAAGACAACGCGGATTGAATTCGACCTTCCGGAATACTGTGTGCGACGCCGCTATCAAGACTTCGATTGGCTGAGGATCAAACTGGAGGACAGCCAGCCCACCCACCTCATCCCTGTAAATTGACCACAACAACCGCACTGCCGATCGCCTACAAACCACTCCATTCACACTCTTCGCCCTCTTTTTTTTTTTTTTCTTTCAGCCTTTGCCGGAGAAATTTGTGATGAAGGGCGTGGTGGATCGTTTTTCGGAAGAGTTTGTCGGAACTCGCATGAAAGCGCTGGACAAGTTCCTGAAGCGGGTTGCAGACCACCCAGTCCTGTCCTTCAACCCGCATCTCAACGCTTTCCTGTCTGCTAAGGTGAGACCACCGGCAGGCGGGAAACATTTTAATTCAACAATAAATGTTTTGCAAACATCAGCTGTTTAGCAACCCCAATAAATCAGTTGCAGGGGAACGCAAAAAGAGACCTGCTGATGCAAGGGGAAAAAATTACAATGGATGCAAATCCCGAATAAATTGCATTGACTTTCTCACCAGGAGGATACAAGTAGCCTCTCCCTGACTGCAATAAAGCGGTCATCCACCAAATCCGTCCGGACAATCTTCACTCTCATGCTCACACTCAATTTCAAGATTGAATTCAGTAAAATTGAAAGAGGACAAATGTGGCCGATATGCACTGCACTGGAACGCTGAGCGTATTATTCGTCTGCAGGATCTGAACAAGCGGCAGGGTCTGGCGCTGCTCACCAAGGTGGGCGAGTCGGTGAAGCACGTCACCGGAGGCTACAAGCTGCGAGCGCGGCCGCCCGAGTTCTGTGCCATGGGTGAATACCTGGACACTTTTAGCCAAAAATTGGGCACCATCGACCGTATTGCTCAGAGGATCCTCAAAGAGCAGTCAGGTAACAAACTGAAGCCGGTCACCAAAAGTCATTTCGGCTTAGTATACGTTTTGGAGCAATAGACGCTCATCAGGCATGGATGGTTTGTATTCCTGATGACCAACACAGCACAGCACAGCACACACACATCCTAGCTCAACAATAATGAGTTCCTTCCCCCAACCAAGATGTAGTACCAAAACTGACCTTTGGGAGGCAGAACCGTGTTACAAGGGCATTTAAGACAATCACGAAATATCAAGATGCGTGGAAAACTAGACGAGTTGTACTCTATGAGACTCATCAACTGTACTGTGATGTGCGCATACAGAGACTTTGATTTTTCTGTGAAATGACGTCATGATTCTGATGAGGACACCAAAGGCACTCGGTACAGTTGCTATCGCGACAAAAGGGTCCGAAACATGTCGGACTCCAGCACAGTTAGCCACGCTGTCAGTGAGGAAGTCGGATTCGATGTTGTGAAACAGGAAGCAACGCAAAGATAACACAACCTTTTGCCTCCACTTCTGTATTCTTTTTAACCGTAGTCTGCGGTTTGGTTTACGGCCTTTGAATCCCATCCTCCTCCCCCTCCGCATAACACTGCTCTAGAATCACCGACGAATGACGTTTATAAACCTGAACCGAACAGATGATTAGATTCTTTATCCGCTCATCTCAACCTCGCTAGAGCACTTGACTGAGCTGCGCGACTATGGCGCCGTGTACTCGAACTGGACGGGCTCGGAAGGGGAACTGCAGCGCCCCCTGGAGGGGGTGGCGAGCTCCGTTTCGACGTGTTGCGGGGCGATGGATGAGCTGTGTGAGAACATGGGCCAGGACTTCCTACCTGTACTACGAGAGTATATGCTCTACATCGAATCCATGAAGGTGAGATGGATGGAAATGTTCTCAATTTCCTCGCCCGTATAACAAATCGCAGCATTGGAAAAAAAACACCAACAAAAATCGACTCTTTGCAGAATGTTCTGAAGAAGCGCGACCAAAGTCAGGCGGAGTACGAGGGACGCCTGGAAGCCGCCCTACTGCGCAAACAGGAGGACAGAACGCCTGTAAGCATCGTCATTGTTCGTCTTATTTGGTACCTCCCACCTTTTGCGGTGGGCCAAGTCATTTTGCACCCGTCGTCCACGGTAACGTCACAAAGTGGCCGTTCTCCTGTACGCAGTAGCATTTAGAGCCCCCTGTAGCGCAGTAGTGCTTCTGTGTCTCCCGCTAGATGCCGCCCGAGGTGGAGCGGTGCCAGGACAAGGTGGAGTGTTTCAACGCCGACCTGAAGGCCGACTGGGAGCGCTGGCAGAGCAACAAGCGACAGGACTTCAAGCAGCTTCTCGGTGGCATGGCCGACAAAAACATCAATTACTACGAGAAGGTACGCATTGTATCATAGCATTGCACAGTCCCGGAGGGTCCGAAAACCTTGTCAGACAACGCTAGTAGATTTCAGTACAACATGTGGCGTGATGTGACGCGCTACACCGTTTGCCCTGGGTTCCTGCTATTCCCTGCCTGTCACCCACGCTTTAAAAATGAGATTATTTTATTGTCAGACTGTACTTAAAAGTGTTGTTTTGCGCTTCTCCGCAGTGCCAAGCAGCGTGGGAGTCGCTCATCAATGTCCTGCAGGACAAACAGACCGAAGACCAAACGAGCGAAACGGACTGAAGCGCCTTTAACCCGCTCGCCCCGGTGACTTTTGTCCATCACGCACTTTTTCACGCCAAGGACCGAGCAGGCCTTTGGACTCCCAAATGAAGGACCGTGTCCCCGTTTTTCCAGAGTTGACTGTCATCATCGGACCTTTTCAGGAAGCTGTGACCGCAGCGTACACAGTATGTGTATGCGTCAACTGGTCATAGAGCGGCGACTTTCTATCGACAGCCATTCTTTTTCACGCCGTTGCTCTTTTTCTACTTCATATCATTTGTTAACAGTTGCCAATGCTGCTTACGTAACCACACGCTAAGGAGACGTGGGTTTTTTTTTCTCATCCTTTTTACAGGATGAGACAAGGGTACTATTATTATTATTTTCTTTTTTTTTGGTCCCTTGGTCTGTCAGCTTCTCAGATAAAGCCACAAGCTCATTCCAATCGTGGTCATGATTGTTTTGCAAGGGTTCGCAGATATTTTTGTGTCCTTCGACTTCGTCAGTTCACGAGAAAAATCGATTTGCAGAAAGGTGAAATTTGCCGCGGCACCCGCGTTTCACAACACGGCCTTGAGAGTGCTGCGACAACTTTGCGTAATAAGCTCAGATGAGCACGTTAGCTCTCTCATCCCTTATCGGTCATTTATTTCAGCTAAAAGGGGCAAGAAGGAGCTTTTTGCGATGAAAGCGCAGAGTTTGAAGACTGAACCTTATCAGATCCATTAGTTTGGGACTAAATTGCTCTGACTAATTAGAACACGTATTGCTTGTCATCTCAGCTTTTATTGTTGTCTTTAAATGCTTCTCAAAGGACAGTGCTTTACAGGAAAGAGTCCACCTATCTGATGTTAGTAACCTCACACTTGGCAGATGGATGGACAGGAGCAGTATAAATTGGGGGGGGAACAAAGCAAAACAAAAGAAAAAACACTGCAGCGTATGTTTGCATCAGTAAGAAAAAAGGATTATGAACATCGACGGCTTGCAATATCAGCTGCGTTAAGCTATTTCAGTTATTCTTGTTTTGTTGATTTCTGGCAAACTTCTGCAAGTTTGTTCCTTGGCGACTAAAAATGGCCTGATTTTTTTTTTTTTTTTTTTTTAAATGGCGATCTTAGGAATGACTCATTTTGTGTGCAACTGTACATGACTGATACGAAGTCAATCGCCTGGTCCATTCCTGTTCGGAGGCATACTAACTTGCTGTATGAACTTAAAAAAAAAAAAAAAAAGCACAAAAAGTATGAGGGAATTGTAATTTCAGGATTCTAGTGATTATATTTAAGGTTACGTACCGCTTAGGGATGCGCCTGATCCTAAGTCGGCTTGTATCCCAAGCAAATGTTTTGCTGCATTTGACTAGAATCTAGTTAGGCGTCGACATCTATTGATGCCTTTGAGCAAAAGTGGCAGTGGTTAATATTTAAACAAATGATAATTGTTTCAATTAAAATGATTTTGTTTTGTGTAAATGATCCCAAATGTACAGCCGAGAAATTGCCGGAGGATCCATTTAATGTGAAACTGGAAGCATTAAGAAGGGATGACACAATCTCACTAACAATATGAAGCTTGTATATTGAAGGAATTTCCTTTTTTTTTTTTTAACCTCAACAGCATAGCGTCTATTTTTGATAGAGCTTCATGTCGAGTTTTTGCCTGCTGGTTAATGAACAATGCAGGATTCATCCCAACTTGAAACTTTTCTTGAAAATGTCTTTTGATTTGACAAAAGTACCAATTCTGGCGGCGATTTTGCTTTTGTGTTTTGATCTTGCTTGCCGAATGTTTATCGACAGGTTGAAAGCCCAAATGGGAAGAAGATGACAGCTGCCAACATATTCCGTACGAATAATTAGTATGAATGTACTGTACTCATCTTGGAAAAAAAAAAATCGCCAAGCCCAAACGTCCGCATCATTTCCTGCATTGCAACACAGCAGAAATAGGATCAACTTACCATGATTTTTTTTTTTTTTAAGCTAACTGCTAATAACCTCAGTTTTGTTCTATTTTGTTGGTCCCCGATGTTTACATTTTTACTTTTGGTTCATTCTGTACACTTGAACATCTTGTAATTAGATATAAATATGAGGCCTGGATATTGATGTTGTTCTGACGCGATTACCTTTACCTCAAACTATTTTGGGATATATTGGACCAATATTAAAATAAATTGATTTGATATTGATCTGTGAAGTTTTTCCTCTATTTCTAGTTCGCTTAACAGTTACAATATAGTGAAAAAGCACATTTTCATTCATTGAAATTTAATAAAAAGCATCTAAAGACGTGATAAATAATGCAACCTTGTTCACACCGTGAGAGGTTCGAGATCTCTGCCGTCCATTTTTTTTTTTCATCAGATCTCATTCCACACTAGTTATTCCAAAGACTGCACACTGTGTGACGTAAAACACACATCTGCTCATCTTTCCTTTCTGAAGTGTTCACGGTTTTATCTTCGGAGGAAGCGGGCTTCAGTTCTCCTTATCCGAATGCCGTGGCTCGACCGTCGTTTCTGTCTCTTTGGGACGTCTTGGCTGAGTCTGTCTGCATCCCACGACACTGCAGGGAGGAAGAATAATCCGTTTCAAATACACGTCGTTTAAAAGAAGAATTATTGTGGGTGAAACTAGGGTGAACCTGTGTGCACTCTGACCGGTTAACCTTATTTGACATTGTCTAAACTTTTGAACGCACAAGTTTGATTGTTGAGTGTTAGAGTAAAAAATAAAAATAAAAATTTGCGACTTGCATCAGAACGTGTTTGGTCTTTGTTGGGGATCTATCAAATTGTGCAAAGTCTCCTGACACAAACACTTGGATGGAGATACAAATGTTTAGAGAAGGTCAAATTAGGTTCACCAGTAAAGGTAGCGTATATCCAAATGCATAATCCGGATCCCTTGTCAACCACACACACCTCACAAAAGGCGGTTGCTATTTTTGAAACGTAGCGATACGTTTCATACGGACAGATGAGGTGAAAAGCACCTGATGGGAATCATTCCCAGAACTGCCAGTATGCTGGAGAGGGTGAAGACGAAACCTGGGAACCAGCCCAGTGTTCTCTGGTAGAGTTTAGTGAAGGCAGGGATGTACGCCAGAGCTGCGAACCTCAACGCCAGCTGCAGAGCTGTCAAAGTGATGCCTGATGGCAATGAGGCAGAACACAAAGGGGACGCTAAGGTACATGGGGTCTTGTGTACGCACATGTTTCTGGGAGTTTGACTAGCAAAACAATTGCTCCTCACCACACAGGGATGTTGGAACCTGCTGGGAGAGAATTGATCTGATTGTAGGCAGCGGGATGAGGGCAAAGAGGCTGAGCGAGCGAGCTGCGGAGAAATGACGTCGATATTAGAACGGTCCCCCGATACGGGAGCAGGTCAGAAAGCAGAAGACGACGCTTACCGAGGTAGAACATGTAAGATGCGGTGACGAAAGACATGAAGTAGATCCCGCAGGCGAATGAAAGCATGCCGATGAGGATGAGCGTGACGTCGCTCACGCAGCGGCGAAAAGCAATGGCGCCGAGGTAACTGCTGAGGAAGATCACAAAGCCCGCTGCGTTGCCGTAACCCACCTAGAGGAGCAAACTATTTAACACACCGGTACATTTCATTTGTAATCCCCGATTGGGATATTGTTTCTGTCTACCACAGGGCGCTGAGAGGTGAGATTTCAAGAATTTATCTGCAGGCCAAAGTGTAAGACATGACCATTAGGAGGTCACAATGTTTGAGGACATTTCGGATGTTTTGATGCTACAGAGGATATAAAATGATGATTTCAGTGATTACAACTCATAGGTAGCATTTATCGATGCAAACCACAACAAAGTGAGATTAATTTGAGGTTATTTTTCTTGTCAAAAGTTCGACACATTTGGTTGGCACACAACTGGATGAAGCTGGATCAGTAATAATAATAATAACAATAATAATAATAATGATAACAACAATAATAATAATAACAATAATAATAATAACAAAAATAAAAATCAATTTTATTTATGTTATTTTATGTATGTTTATTTATAGCGCTTTAAAAACACTCAAAAGCACTTTACACAGTAAAAGACAATAAATAAAAAAGAACAGGCAAAATAAGACTATTAAATTAATATTAAAAACTATAAACATGCAACAGTGTGTGCAAAAAAAAAAAATCAAAAATCAAAAAAATCTGTGTTATTCTTCACGATTACACTGGTCAACATTTTTTTTTTTAAATCTGGGATGCAAGTAAACCTTTCCAGATGAATTTTTTGCACTGATCTCGAATCTGCCTTTGTTTTATTCTCTTGCACATCGGGGTTTAACAAATACTATGTGCTGGCATGCTAACCAGTCGACTACCGTGCCACCCTAAACACCTTTTTGAAAAATGTAATTTAATACGATCATCTAGGAATTTGACTTTTAATGGCTTGTACACAATTGGATAGAACACATACTTGGGCAGCGTTCCAGTTGAGTGGCTCTTTCATCACAAAGACGCCCAGGATTTCCATGGCTCCGCTCACCGAGGAGCCGTACAAGATGGCCGCGGAGAAGAGCAGAACCACGTTTACCGTGTTCTTCCTTTTGGACGTCTCTGCAGGAACGCCAGCGGAGGAGTCAAGGAGGAGGGGGCTGCGCTCCTCAGGCTCACTTGATACTTGCTTTACCTTCATGAAGTCAGAAAATGGCCAACATTGGGTGACAGAAGTACTCACACTCAAGTAAAATGCAGTCAACTGGAAAATATAATTGAACGTACAGAAATTACACGGACTTCATGACTTCTCATCACTCAGTAATAGTTCATTAAAGTGCAGGAATGTAAGTGATAGTGTCAAGCTGTTCAAGGACCTTGGCTTCATTTTTAATCCAGTTTTATTGTGTCAAACATGCAGAAGTTCCAAAGACACGGACCTGCAGCAGCACGGTGGCATGAGTGAGGCCGAGCAGCTGGAGAAGCGTGCAGATGCAAAGTAGGACAGTTCCATGTCCAACACTAGAACTATACAGTAGGAACACATGACCTGACAGCAGACTGCCCAGCAGGCCCGCCGCTCCGTACATAAGCTCCACTCTCATCATAGCCTGGAACAGACACAAATTACTCCCATAAACCAATCAAACTCCAAAACCCTCAGGAGGTTCAGATTACTTCCTATTTGGCTATTATTCTGTTGCACGTCACAATAATCTATGAGACATTCGATTATCGACATTGCTGACATTGACTGGAAGAGGGGAATCAGGCTCAAAATGGGCTCGAGGATTGTTATGCAAGTCCCCAGTTAAAAAGGAAGTCACATTGGACAAAAAAATTAAATATGTATATATATATATATATATATATATATATATATATATATATATATACACAGTTATTCCTTGTTTATCGGGGTTAATGGGGACCAAAACCACCCGCGATCAACGAAAATCCGCAAAGTAGCGTCCAATTAACAAACAGGTAAAAAATAAATATTTTTTTTTCTTTTTACGTCCGCGAGAAGCTGCAAAACAACAGCGAGTCACGTAGAGCAACATATACAGTACTGCACTCCATGTATATGTAAAAAAAAAAAGTTTTTTTTTTTTTGTTTGAAAAAATCCGAGATGCACTGAACCCGCGATAAACGAACCGCGAAGTAGAAAGAGATCACTGTGTATATATATATATATATATATATATGGTCTATTTTGGAAAAGTTTGTCGGATTCGTCGGGCACCTGTATATGTAAAAACGTATTTTCCACACTATAAGGCGCTTCGGAGGATAAAGGCGCACCTTCCATGAATGGCCTATTTTAAAACAGTTTTCATATACAAGTACATCATATTATAAGGCGCATAGAATAGAAGCTACAATAATGGCTGAGATTGCGTTATGCATCCACGAGATGAAGCTACGCTAAAGAGAATACAATACAATATTGCTTTAATTATTGAGCACTTTCACCACCGCTGCAGCTGTAATAAAGCGCTTTATAGAACATTTGCAATACTACGCCCTAGGAATCAGAATATTGATCCCCATATAAGGTGCACTGACAGTTTTTGAGAAAATGGAATGCTTTTAGGGATATATATATATATATATATATATATATATATATATATATATTAACATTAGCTTCCAATGTTAGCTTGAACGTGCGCTCACAAACCTAGCTTTCAATGATAGCTTTTGAAGTTAACGTCTACAAACTTTTTTTTTTTTAACCGCATTGCCTTCTACTTCATCTGCTGTGGATATGATGTACTTTCCGTTCTGCTTTTGGAAATGTCATACAATTTTATTTTCCCTCTTCAAATGTTTTTACTGTTTTAACCTCTTGTACGCTGTAGTACAGGTCACATTAATGTTGGAAAACGTTTTGAAATTATTTAGCTTGGTGTCTTTTTTGTATATCGTTAACAGCTTTGATGGGGGGGTGTCAGGCAAGGCAGCTTTATTTAAAGAAGCCATTAGCTTAGCACATCTTTAGCTTAATGTGGTTCACATTGGTAAAAGTACAAAAGTCAAAAGGCATTGACAAACAAAATAATTTAAGACATTGAAAAGCAAAGTGGGAAAAGGAATAGTTGAAGACATTTAAAAGCAAAGTAAAAAAAAATACATGCAGTTGACTAAAATTATTAAAAGAATGTGATCATGCTTTAAAAGGCCTTAATCATAAGTGGGAGTAGGCGGTAGCATTTTTTTTCAATGGGTTTCAAAAGTATTTACAACCAGGGCTAACTTCTATCCTGTTGGCAGCTTATTGCATTCTACACTATGTCCACTTTTCATATCCACTGCGGGTTGTTGTGCAAGTGACAAAAAGTTGGACCCAAATGCAGGAACGCAAGGCAGGGTGAACTCAAAACAAAGTGGATTTATTTTCCAAAAAGAAAACAAAAAGTCCAAAAATAACACATAACATACAGAATCAACAAGACAACATTAAACCAAGTCACAACAATCACACGAAACAAACTAGCACACAGCAACACAAGTTAGGAACAGCAAACAAATGTAATGATGCAACAAAGACTGACAGGGAGCAGGGAACTAAATACAAGCAAACTGATGAGACAATGAGAAACACCTGGACAACTCGAAAGGTTGGAGGGAGCTGATTGGTTAACACAAGGAACCAGGATGACAAGAACAGGTGTGTGTGTGTGTGTGTGTGTGTGTGTGTGTGTGTGTGTGTGTGTGTGTGTGTGTGTGTGTGTGTGTGTTGGGGGGGATATATTTAAAAAATAAAAATAAAAAAAAAAGAACACAAAGAAGCAACATAACATGAAACAAAACCAAATGTAATCCAAACAGAATCATGACACATTGTTCCTGTTTTTTAACTTCTGCCTGGTGAGCCTATTGTGCTGTTTGAGTGGAAGCTAAATATCACAAGACACATTCTTTGGGCTGAATTTACCACATTTTGTTTTGATTTATCACCGTTTGCTAGATTTGACAAAGATGTTCTCGTTGATGTGGATTAATTGAGTGGCATTGGTGGGCAATATATGAATTTGCACGTTCACATATTATTGATTTGTTTTATTTTGAGATTCGATGATCTGATTAAAAAATAAATATATATATATATATATATATATATATATATATATATATAAAATACAAATGAAAAATAATAAATTGGCTCCAGCACGCCCGAGACCCTCCGTCAGCATAAACCAATTTAGAAAATAGATGGATGGATAAATCAGAAGTTACTCATCAGTATTGAAGTGGGTTTTCCTACTTTTTACTTACCCTTCCTCAAGTAATTATTTGAACAAATGTTTTTTTTTTTTTTTTAAATTTTGGATTATACATATATCCATCCATGATCTTAACCGCTTCATCCTCCTAGCCATCTTTGGGCAGCAGGCAGGGTACACCATGAACTGGTTGCCAGCCAATCACAGGGCTCACAGAGAAGAACAACCAAGCCTGGAGCCCGGATTCGAACCCGAGACCTCTGCACTGTGAGGCGCACGTGCTAACCAGTCGATCACCGTGCTGCCTTACCACTTCTCTCAGTTCATTCGTTATGTACAACTGATGGGGTAAAGTAACCCAATATAGGTTAAAAAAATGGTAGTTTTTGCGTTAAGTGAAAGATATTTTCAAATTAATTTGTTGCATTTTATTGTTATCTCGAAAATGCAACGTCCACTACATTTTTTAAATTGTTCAACCCAAATAAATAAACGAGGTGACCTTTGACAGTAAAAACAGATTGTTTTCTCACCTTGGAGCGATTCTCCGTGTCGGAGCCGAGCGACGCCAACGTCATGACGCCGGGCCAGTAAGCGCAGAAGCCGCCGGATATCCCATAGAGAGCCGCCGTCCCGAACATCACCTGGATGGGCAACCGTAAAAGAACCACCTGGAGGAGGGTGACGCTCGACAGCAGGTACCCGCACAGGGGTACCAAGACGGGCGCTCTCCTCCAGCCGCGGTCGCCCGCCTTGGCGAGGAGGAGAGCGGGCACGATAGGCGTCAGCTGGACGATGAGGTTATTGACCAAATAGAAATCCGACATGGCTCGCTGCTGCTCTTCCTCCCCGGCGAAACGAGTGTCATTGGTGCCCGGGGAGGTGGCGTTGGCGCACCGGTCCTTGACCACCATGAGCAGGGCGGTGTCGAACAAAGAGGTGCCCAGCTGCTCGAGCACCACGAGCGACTCAACTCGGCGGACCACCCCGAAAGCGCTTCCACACCAGCTCCGCGTCGCCATGCTTCCTTAAAAAGTGTTCATGATTGAAAAAGCGACGTTATATGAATGAAGAGGTTATAATGGAGTCAGGGAAGTTGAGCACAAAACCGTTTGTGAGGGTAAAGTTCCACTTCCTCATTCTGGTCATTAAATTACTTACTGCAAGTGCAATTTATCGTAAATCATTCAGAGGTTGACATCCTATGTGAGCAATAAAAGTGCATTTTATTATTACACTGTATATCAGGGGTGTCCATTACGTCGATCGCGATCGACCGGTAGATCGTAGACTTGTTGCAAGTGATCCCGAGGGGTGTAGAGGAGAAAACAAACAACCGTTCGTGTGTTATTGTGCATGTGAGTAATATATTTTTTTGTGTTAATGTCCACTCCTATCAGTCGCATTTTCAGAAAAAGTATTTAAAAAAATAAAATAAAATAAAGAAGGTAAATCTTTAATACAGTGCATCACCGGAAGTTGTTGGCAGTCTGCATTTGCAGCTTGTGATCAGAGCTGTTGCGCTGTATCTTTATTTATACAGTTTAGTTGTTCTTTTTTTTTTATCACCACCTTCATACAATGCACATTAGGCTCCTAAATACAGCCAATAAAGATGCACTTAGACATGTATGACGATGGAAAAAAGAATAAAATCAATGTTTATCTGGACAATATCAATAGGGTAAACAAAATATTACCAATATTACCAGTGTGCTGTTGTCCACTAAACGAAACCACATTGACAATACTGTCTATATATGTACATACATATTCTGTAAAAAAACAAAAAAAATGTATGAAAGAATATCATCTGTCTTCTGACATTGTCACTTGTGATCCATTTTTTAATGCAGAAGTTGATTTATAAGCTAATAGTGAGTAATTTCATATCATCCAGTTTTTAAGAATCAGCTATATTATTCAGAATCAGAATGCAATCAAAAGGCCGTTAGACGTCCTGGCACACACAAATAACCACTCAGAAAATTGTCAGGTTTTGTATTTAATGAGAAAATATTTATAATATGTATAACAGGCGGATAACTGTGAGCCGTACACGTGCTATAAAGTGGAGCACATTATCAATATGAACATACGAGTGGTTAACTGCATAAGGACAGAGGTTATAATCTCGACCATAAAATTGCATCGTCACACACTGAAGCGACTCAGGATGGGTAAAAACCAAGCTACCAGCTTTTCAAAAGATAAATAAAATCATCTCTGCATCAAGAATTCAAACGAAAAAGCCGCATATTCATCAAAGTCAGTCGTACGAAGCAACTGATGCTCTGAGTGCATTTAAATAAGCCAATAAAATTACCATGCAATGCAAAGGATTCATCCCGGAGTGCATTCTTTTTTTTAAATTTTTTTTTTTTATGTAGCACACCAACTCAACAAGTCTTTCAAATACTTTTTAAGAAAGCTTTGTCAACACTTGACAGGCTTCATTTTGCCCCTTGTCCTGCACCTGTGTCATATTGCATTAGCGTTACCGCAAAAGGGATACATAATTTAAATATATTATTTCATGTGTAAAACTAATAATAAGGGAGATTTTGAATCAGAGCTTTTTTTTTTTTTGGTTTTGGTTTCCTTTTTTTTGAGAGAAAACATCTCGGCACATTCTTTGCTTTCAATCCTGGTTGTTTGACAGAACAGATAAAACAAAGAATAATTTCCAGACACGTGATCATAGTTATGAATACAATCAGGGCGTGTTGTGTTTAAGTTGACCACAATTCTCACCGTAGTGAGCACACTACCTCAGTTTGTGTTTGCATTGAATGTTTTGCTGAGGATTGAGTTGAGTGAGGTCGAGGGTGCGGACAGGTCAGTGTCGAGCTGAAGGACACTTGGAGCAAGACACTCTGGCAGATTAAAATGGTGACCTTTTGGATTAAAAGCATTCTCACCATCCTCTTGACATTCGCATGCTGAGGGGGAAAAAAAAAAAATCTGAAAAAAGACCGAAGAGTAGAACGTTACTGCTACTTTTCAGTTCAAGTGGCATAGAAACACACACTAAAGTATAAACACTTGTAAATAGAATTCATTCCTTGTGCTCTCGTTCACTCTTTTGAACACGTAGCCGGGATTTACATTCATCCCAGATCATTGTCGAGTCGGTTTCATGATTTGCTGTCGAGTGATGAATATTCATTGTCTTAAAGAGGCAAACTGGTTCTCTTTTTCTCACCGCTTTTTATAAAACAAAGTTTCATTCTTTTTCAACATTTGCCATCACACGGTAGTCACCTTGCAAGTATAATAAGTACACTGGGACTAAATGTGCATCTGTCAAATACACAATCCTACCTCATAATATGATACAACTGCCGCCTACAAAAGACATCATCAACAAACCAATGGTAAAATAAGTGATTTTAGAGGACCGCGATATATACGGTGTACAATACTGTTCTACAGCCTGCTCAAAAACTCCTGATACACAAACATGACTTTTTCCCCTTCCTGTTAAAACCTCACAGAGACGAAGTCACTAAATGAGACGGAATATTGACAACCTTCGTTCTATTGTTGCTTCTTGCTCACTCTCTGAATCAAATTGTGGCCAAATGGGATTGGAGATGAAATCGTATCCGCCAGTCTCAGGCAGTGGAGGATCTCATGATGGAACGTGGCTGCCTGAACGGCTGTCGACAGCTGCAAATATTGGAAACGCAGCCTCTCCGTATATTGATGATGAATACAGTATGTGAGGCCTCACGAACATGCCAGACTGATGTTTAAACGTATTCAACGGATGATTGGTGGCTGTCAAGCACACAAAACCTTCAGTGACCTTCAGGCAACCTTTCAAAAGAAAATTGACATATCCACGATTCCTTCTTGCATCTTGAATGCAAATTGTCTTTTGCATCACCCTCTTTTCGTCTCATGCTCTTGCATCACCTACATTCTGTTCCACTTGCAGAATCCCCGTCCAGAAATTGATACACTTCCTCATTGAGCTCCACTGGTCAGACCAGAATTGATCATCAGAACACTAAGAATAAAACAAATACTGCTTCCCCTGCTTGTCCTTTTTCCTTCCCATCCTATTTTCACTCTTCCTCCTCTTCTTCCTCCTCTTCACCATCCTCATTGGCGTAGATTCCGGCTTCCCACTTCAGGGCCATGTCGCTTTTCCTCCGGGTGATGCGAGTGGCCTCCAAGACCTGTTAAAAAGAAATAAAGAGAGAAAAAAAAACATTTTGGCGTTAAATGCGTGTTTCTATTGGCAGCAGAATGGAACCACTCGACATGCCCTCTTTGAGTTCACCATGCACTGTCAACCACAGAGGGAGCTCTTGGTTCACTGGACAAACGCTCACTGTCTAGCACGAGGCACTAGAGGGGTGGGACCCATCCAATCATTTTCTGAACCATTTATATCTGACAAATCAATCACAACTATATGTACACTTTCGGGTCTTCAATGAACCGAAAAGGAATGCTTTTATAATTCAAAATCCTCAACTTCAGAACCGTGTGGCGGCTGTGCGAACCATTGCGCTATTGTGCCTCGGTGAGCTTCCCTTTTTGAAGCCTTCCGCATTCTAATTTACAAAGATGCCCCCTGCATTTGTTTCCCAATAATAAAACTCCCCCTTTGTATTTGACAATCAAAACAAGATATTTGATCAGCGTCCTTCAAGTACGTCAAGCTTGATCAGGTGCACCTCGTACACACGTACACACACGTGCCAAGGCCAACACACACGTGTACCATCAAGGACAGCAAAAGTGTGCAGGAATCCATGTTTACCGAACGGTGGATTAATGCTCTCCAAAACACTTGATGACTTTCCAGGAACAAGCCACAAACTTTACATTACCACATGTCCTCCTCAAGCAGTACTAGACTGCTGTATAAAGATATTTATTTGTGATGTAAATAACAAGGAAGAGCGACGGCCGGTTTAATCTTATTCTACTGTGCATTCAGTGGGGTGCGGTGGGTAAAAGGTATTTCCTAATCAACAACAAGCACATGCATCAGCAATACCACAGTGGGATGGTAACAGTGAGATCACAAACAGACCTGGGACACATTTGGCTCTGTAGACAGACGTAATATTCACGACAAGCAAATTCATCCATTTTCACTGCTGAGATTTAATGTCGAGGAGACTGAATAAACAGAGGTGTCCAAGTCTAGTCCTTGAGAGTCCCTATACAGCCTGTTTTAGATGGAACCACACTTGGACACCCCTGGAATGAAGATATCATCAATGAATAGGAGAAATACTGATTTGTGGCTACTGTAATTAGACTAAGGCATTCATTTATTTAAAACAATCAGGACATTCATACGTCTGAGATGATATTCTTGATTCAGTGCAGTGCTACCCAGGTCTGCGAGCAAAGGAAGTGATCAGGGTTTTGGTGTGCGTCAGGTACCTCGGTGGTTACCTCGTTAGCCAGCAACAAACGGGCATACTGAGCGATCAGCAGGAGAGAAGCAACAGTACACAGAGTCAACACACGTCACATTGGACAAAAAAAACCCCAAAAACGATGGACAATAATCTTACATACCGTATCTAAATAAAATGGCATGTCAACAATTTTATTAAAAATTCAGTACAACCGCCCCCGTGTCTTCTACTTTTACTTTCATTTCCTGCTTCGAGATTGGAAATGTTCCCCTGGTTAGCTACCGTATTGGCGCATGCAGACTCGAAATGAAAGTGAAGTCAGTGAAATGACGAATCCTTATGAAGCCCAACACTGTCCAGAGAGCATTTGGCATTTGGAGTGTTGCCTAATCCACACACAGATAAGATAGTTTCAAGACTAAGCCTAACTGAAATAATTACTGTGCAAATCACACTCTAGGGCACTGCATTTTGTAACAGTTCACAGCTGTGAATATTAACTTCCTACACGGAAACAAGTATCTCTTTCTCAACACCTGGCTTTGCATGTGCATCTGAATACTTACGCTGTTGTCCTCCATTTTCTCCCTCCTCTTCACCTTGTGTGTTTCATAGTCCTCCATGAGAGTCTGCATGAAGTTTTTGGGCCGAGATCCTCCGGAATCCTCACTGCCGGCGTCAGATAGCGCCCCTTCTGACGGCGAAGGGGAGACAGGCGGAGCAGGTCGAACCTTCTCGATCTTTCCTAGGGTGTAATAATTTAAATGGTTACATGAAGCACACAACAGGGTCTACATTTCATTTGGAATACCCAACTGGGACAGTAATTCTCACTGTTTCGACACCTACTTCTTTCCCTAACGGCTTAAGCCAGGGGTAGAGAACTCCGGTTCCTGGAGAGCCATATCCTGTTTGTTCTAGATCCTTCCCTACTCCAACACACCTGATTTAATTGCTCATGATTGTTTCAGGCCTCTACAGCGTTTGCTGATGAGCTGATCATTGAAATGAGGTGTGTTGGAAGAGGGAGGGATCTAAAACAAGCAGGATATGGCTCTCCAGGAACCGCAGTTCCCTACCCCTGGCTTAACCCATATTCAGGGGTCACCACCGCGAATAACCCCATTTTATTTTTATCATACATTTACTCTACTAACATAAATCCTGATGTGAATTCCATGAGGTTTAGTTAGTCAATCATCTCGTACCAGGTGTCACACAGGAAGCGTGTCAACTAACCTGGTGCTGTCCTTGATGTCAGTGTGAGTCTTGTTGGCAAGCTGTTGCTCTTCAACTTGTCTGCCGGGGATATGGTGGTTTTCCGTACTCCTGTTCTTGCAGGAATTTGAGGAATGGCAGAAGGTTGCACTTCTCTCTGTTTCTTCAGTTCTTCCTCTCTCTGCTGAGCTGCTCGGATCTCTTCCTCGATCATGGACAACGTACGCTGTTTCTTGGAGCGAAGGCGGAATGGTCCGCTTGCCACTTCCACCTCAGGGCCTTTTGTTGCCGCTGCTGTGCTACGTAGCTCAGCCGCTTCGGAATACTTACTGAAGTAGCTGAACTCTGACTTTTCAGGACTTGGAGGGGAAGGGGGACGGCAGACTGTGGCTGGCCTGGGTACATTGGCCGTGTTCACAGGGCAAGGATCCGGCGCAGCAACCGGGGCCGAGGAAGCGAGTGCTCTCGTGTAAGAAGACTGGATTTTGATTCTCGGTCCTCCCACTTTGGGTCTCTGTGGTGGAGATATAGGCTGAGAAGGAGTTGGAGAGGATTGCGATGACTGAGTCGGACTGGATGAGGTTGACTGTTGCTCTTGTGTTTTTATAGGCTTCTCTTGGAAAGCAACCTGTTCCTCAGATGTAGCAGCTCTGAGGGGGACAGCTGACTGTAGATGGTCAGCTTCCCCAAAAGACACAGGGGAGGAAGATACTGGCACTGGACTACTTGTTGAAGCGGAGAGTGAAGACACAGGGCTGCTCATCTGTGAAGAATCTAAGTTCGGGAGAGATGACTGCCAGTCATCTCCATTTGTCGAGAGGGCATTTTGGATCACATTTTGGACAAGGACTTCTGCTTGGTATTCAAGCTCATGCTCCGCTGCACTGCCAGTGGTTCGCCCGTTGACTGGCGTAGTGGGCTGAGGGGTAGACGGTGACACTGGGGTCAGTGGTAGCGGTGTCGGTGGAAGTGAGGCCCCACTGTCTGAAACGCTATCCAAGCTAAACACCGTTGTGTCCTGAGAGCGAACTGATAACTCTTCCAGTCCCGAGTCTGACTCCTCGGGGTGATAGCCTTGGGGTATCTGGCTCTTCCCTTCCTCTTCATCACTTACATTTGTCATGAAAGCACGAACGCTGGTAAATTCTCCTGCAATGCCTTCATCAGACCAAGTCACATGACACTCTCCGGTTTCTGGAACAGTGTTGCTGTTCCCATGGTTGGACTTGGAAAAGGGTCTGGCAGAGTATATGTGAGGAGCTATGGAATTCTTGGTCACTTCCGCTTGCAGGAATTGCTTTCTGGCAGATGAGAAGTCAATCTTGTTTTCCACAATGTCTTCCTTCCTGATTAACTCTGGGTCAAAAGTCACCAGCGTGGGAGGTCCAGTAACTTGGGGCTGCCGTTATGGATGAGAAGACTGAACGTCAGAAAGCAATCACCATCGACTCAAAACAGGAGAGAGGAATCCGGCACTTACCATGCATCCAATATCCCATATATTTAGCAGTTAGTTTATTTTTGATTTTATTATGATTAGTATTTTTTACCCAGCAGCCCCGATCACATTCCTTACTGTCTAGATGGGAATAGCATGTGGTATGGCACTTATTGCTTATGTGTACTTGTCTGCTACCTGTGTGTATGAATAAGATGAATTCTGCTTCTGCGTTTTTCTCTCTTGGTATTTTCGGAGAGACTCGAGCTGTTCGGGGTCCAGTTGCTCCTCCAAAGGAACCTTAAAGAAACGGGGAAATCAACCAACAGGCTTTGTTCGACGAGTGTCTCAATATTACAAAATCAACAAATATTGAGTCGTTAACTACCTCCTGTGGAGGGTTCCACCAACGTTGAGCGATGCCAGGGTTTTTCTTCACTGCCTGGTCTCGGATCAGCTCTTGACGCTCACGCTCCAACTCCTGGACCTGTCAGAAAGTCTTTTGAGCATGTCTAAAGCACAGTACAGTAAACTATGTTGGTCCTGTCGTTTTCCCTAGAGCCCATTTGCAGGCTGGTTCAGTTTACTTCCCCTTCTAAAAAGTACCATAACATTCAATGGTATTGCACTTTTAGGTACATTTGCCATCAGGGTAACAACTGCACTAGGAAAGAATGGTTGGGTGGAGTTTGTTTTGTTGATTTAGCACATGGAAGCATCATTGGAAAATAAGAACGCAAATGTGCCATTTCACTAAATCCAGTGGATTGCGATGAAAAGATGTCAGGGCACAGTAATGCACCATGCTGCATTCCTCCTTATCTACGGCACTCTCAACAAAGCGAAATGCAAGCTCAATTGGAGTTTAACTCTGCGCTGATTACATGACCACTGACCTCATCTGGATTTCGTCTCCTCGTCACTCTGACGTGCTGCTCTTCTCCTGGGGTGTAAAGTTTTGCCGGCCTTCTTTCCTCCTGGAAAGCTCTGAGCTCAAATTTTGCACCGCTGTGGCTCGGTTCCTCCGTTGGCGTATGCCCGTTGGTTTTTGCACTGGATTCATCCTGATGTAGGAAGGTGGTTTGTCTTTGCCCCTCCACAAAGATTGGCTGATGACAACCAGGAGAGGAATTGGACACACACACAGACGAGTACATTCCATCTACGCTGATGGGTTTGGTGTATGCAGATGGGGAGGAGTTTCCATTAGTGGGTGTTTCTGAGGCCGCATCCAGTACCTGATCAAGGTAGCGGATCTCCTGAGAACAGAGGAGAAATTAAAGATGGAAATGAGTAAGAGCTTAGCAAGGCAATGCAATCTCTTGAATCTGTCAATTTTGAACAACTTTCGGTATAAAAAAAAAAATCACAGCAGTGGTGAAAGCTGCTGTGAAGATCTTCCCTTTGCGGGATGACATCCTGGCTCTGCAAGTACCGGATTTCATTCATTGTACATTGTGCCTTCATTTCAGACGCTTCACCTGGCAAAAGTCTTCTTCAATTCAATATGCTGTCACAAATGAAGGAGGCAGCAGTGGGAAGGTACCATGTGAAAAAGCAGAAGCTAACTCAACTTTTCTTTGAGGAGAAAAATGCTCCTCTGAAGAATCAAGTAAAGGACATTCATGCTCAGCTCCAGTTGGCAAAGGAGCAGATAAGCAGTCAGGGACAAAAATTAGCTGACTTGTCTGCCAAACTGAAGTCAGAGGGGAAGGAGAAAAAAAATATCTCTGGGACCAAGTGGAATATTTAACACTTTCAGGGACAGCGGTCACTCCAGTGGACAGCTTATCATGTTATCAGGTTACAGGTTATTATTTGTATATAAAAGGGTTAACCAATGAGGTAAAAACTGCAAGTCAAAAGGAGAATGAGGCGAGCCTGCCTCAAAAATGACAGGAACCAAGGCAGCTTTATGAAAATGTCTCAACAGCCTCAGAGAAAACAGATCAAAACAGCTTGATTTTCAGTGGAATCAGGCAGTTTTTTTGAGGACACACATCTGTATTCCAAGGAGAAATGCCTGTGGGGTAGATTACAAAAAGAAGTGGCAGAAATGTGGCAAGACCATAGCCAGATGGCTCCGATTGAGTGATGGGAAAACTTTTAAAAGTTTGTGATCGGGAAACGATTGTCAGACTGCATTTTTACATCTCTACCCCATGCCAAGCTTCCTTTGGGGCCCTCGATCGACCCCTTATGAAAAAAAGGATAATAATTATTTGATTTTTGATTTAATTTTGGCACAGTTGCAGATTAAACCATCACATTTCATCACAAAGTTCACGATAAGCGGTCCATGAGTTTTAACTTTGGAGGGTGAATTAAAAAAAAAAAATCCTCAAATATTGAAAATCCACGTAAAGTTTTCACAAACCTGAACAACTCTTCCAAAATATGCTGGTAAAAAGTTAATGGTTTCGACACAAAAGCAGATTTTTTTATTTTTTTTTATTTTTAGAAACTATTACAAAGAATTATTGACCACAAAGCAAATCTGCAGGTGCTACACCGTGAGTAAGCAGCGATCGACTACACCACAAAGACTGATCAAAGTCTAAACATTGGGCACCACAGTGCCGGCCTTCATCAGCTCCCAGTTGTCATGGTGATGCCAGTGAAACCATGGAACTGAGAAAGTATGACTTCACAAAGGTTTGGGATGCCCTTTGTATGACGACATCACAGCTCTGTATGCATTTCACACATTTTGCGAACGTGCGACATGTGCCAAGCGCTACATGTTGCAGTAATGGCTGACAGATCCAAATTAGTTCACCCGGAACGCTTTACAACCATTCAATTCAACATGTTCATGTGAGCGCAAGAGAAAATGTTGTCACGAGTGAGGGAATTGGCCTGCGGCAGGTATAACTCTGCCAAGCAGAAGCTCTTCAATGTTTTCCATGAGGAGGGAAAGAAGTCGCTGGAGAATCAAGTCAAAGACCTGAAAGCTCAGCTCAGAATGGCAAAGGAACAGATTAGCTGTCAAGGGCAGAAATTAGCAGACTTGTCCGCCAAGCTGAAGTCGGAGGGGAAGGAGAACAAGATTCTCTGGGACCAGGTGGAATATTTGACCAATGAGGTCCAAACGGAGAGTAAAAAGAAAGACGCTGAGGACAGCGCGCCAGAAAAACCACAGGAAACAGGATACAGTAGCTTTTGGGAAAAGCGTCTGAGGACCAAAATCGTCAGGGAGAACGACGATGGAATCTCGCTCGACGGCGAAACGCGGCAGCAGGTCAACAATCAGTTTCAAGTCGGGTGTCGGTTTATGGTGAAGAGCGGCAATAGAAATCCTATGGACCTGAGTGATTCATTTTCCTCCGATGAGTCGCTATCTGACGACACGAGCGACTCAATGTCTGATGACAGCGATGAAAAGATTGACAGCGACACGTTATCAGAGGACACGTACGATCTGGTTTTTAACGAGACAATGTGGGGGGACTTGAAGAAGGAATTCATCGAAATACGTCAGGATAATCATCAAATGGTTCCGGTTGAGTGATCCATAAAGCCTGGAAAGGGGCTTGCCGATAAAGGAGGACTTTGAATCGTGAAAGTCATCCACTCTGCAAAATTCTTAATGTCATCTTTCCTTTGAAAGAGTTGCCAAAACAGGCAGTTTCAGCAGAATATGGTCAAAATGTTACATGCTAACATTTGTACACGTCACAAAAAACTCACACGGATATCATTGTGACATTTTTTTAAAAAAAATCTAATGTACTGTCGCGTTTATTTCTTAAAGAAGTTCTGCATTGCATTCATGCTATTCCTTGCCACATGTGGATTGTTGCGATATGATTTGTATTCAGAATTTTTCAAGTGTTTACATATGTACAGTATATATACATCCATGCATCCATTTTCTGAACCACTTTATCCTCACAAGGATCGCGGAGGGTGTTTGAGCCTCTCCCAGCCGTCTTCGGGCAGCAGGTGGGGGACACCCTGAACCAGTTGCCAGCCAATCGCAGGGCACACATCCGCACTCACACTCTCACCTAGGGACAATTTACAATTTAGAGTTTTCCATTAACCTGCCATGCATGTTTTTGGAATGTGGGAGGAAACCGGAGTACCCGAAGAAAACCCACGAGGCACGGGGAGAACATGCACACTCCACACAGGAAGGCCGGGATCAAACCATCTGCACTGTGAGGTCGACGCGCTAACCACTGGACCACCGGGCCGCCGTGCATGTATATATACGGTGGATCCAAAAGGTTTACACACCTCTGTCGAAATGTCATTTTTGTTATGTAAAAACGAGACACATAAAATCATAAATAATTTCGGAACCTTTTCCACCATTAGTGTACTCGATAGCCTGTACACCTTGAAAAAAAAAAAAAACTCATCGGAACCAAATTGTTGATAATGGCTGTGTTCAGAATCGACAAATCAAATTTGAACTCATGTGAAATAGGAGAAAGTGCATTATTCTGCCATTTTCAGTGATTCTGATTAAACTCAAGTAAGATGTGACACCTTTGTGGTCAAATCTTTCAGCACAAGCAAACGTCCGCAGAGCTTCGTAAACATCTAAGGCACATGTGTCAAACTCAAGGCCCGGGGGCCAGATCTGGCCCACCACATCATTTGATGTGGCCCGCGGAAACAAATCAAAAATGTCAACTTTCATGATGCTCGCTAAAATCTCGACCAAAATTTCGAATTCTCATTTGGAATAAATAAGAGTGATACTGTAAGCATTTTCTTCTGACCAAACCCCTCATGACAGTAACTTAAACAGTAGGTGAATAAACCGTTATTCTTGACATCTTTATATGGTTCCAGTCATAACGCCCCTCCAAGGGAAACTGTCACTAAAATCTGGCCCGTGACAAAAATGAGTTTGACACCCCTGATCTAAGGGATCTCAGCTACCACGGATGCAGAATTTGTTTGAACAAACATATTTTTATGAATTCCGATCAAACACGGCCTCATTTTTCCGGGCGTCAATTTATCGAATTTCCACATTAGATGGAGCCTCACTTTGAGGGTATGAACTGAAACACATTGAGTGCAGATTTTGCATACCTGCTCGACATCGCTGTCGGATGTCACTGTCTTCAGCTCGACACTTTGGCCCTGGACGCTTGATCTACTGAGGCAGCCATGTTGAATCTGCTGGCTCTCCACTTCCATGATGAGCGGTCCGTCAGTGATGATGCTGACTGATTCCTGGAAAGTAACACTCTTTAAGGCTCGCTCTTTAGGTATTGCGCCACTGACATCCTCGGGTGCCTGCCACGATTTCTGCGTGAAACAAAGAAAAAGATGGAGCAACAATTGAAAGCTGCACGTTGTAAGTCAAATGATCCTCATGAGTTTAGAAACCCGTTACGGTCAAACCTGAGAGCTCAGAGTTGTTAGTAACTCCTTAAAGAATAGACATCACTCGAATTAATGTGGTCTGTGTCTGTGCCTTCCTAGCGGCCACTTTATGACAACTGTGTTGCTATGCGTTACTAAATAGTGGCTCGAAACAAATCTCTGCACTGAATTTGCGATTCTCCAGCACAACTGCCAAATCTCAAGTTTATATCATTTTGGGTGTGTAGCAGTATCAGGCCCGATCAGTCTTGAAAAGTTAGTACAAAAGAAAATTATGTGTCATGACATGACGAAACAGGGCCGCAATGTGATTTCTAATCTATTCACTTGAAAATAACAAATGACTGCTTATTGCTGAAACAATGACCACGACGTTAACGCCTTTATCAACAAACATCAACTATAGCAATGAGCCACAATGATGACAACCAAGCATTCTAATCCAAACCCACATAACATCATAATATTTTATCCAACACATTGCGGACCTCACAAAAGCCCACTTGTGGACCTTTTTCATTCACTGGAGGTCATGAACAACAAGAACAACAAACAACTCTGTTGGCTTTTCTTAGTCAACTGCCTTGCGTTCTTCCACTCGATTTTAAGGATATGGTGACTTTCACAAGAAAGCCTCCGCTGACCTTTATTTGCGTTCGGAGCTTTAATGAGCATCACCTCAGTGAATTGAGTCACAGATGATGAGATTTCTTGTTACGCTTCACGTTGTGTTCTAATGGTGCTCAAATTGCTTTCACGTATTTACACAGGTCACTCACACATATTTGATTTGTTCTGACCCAAAACAAGTCCAGTTTAGGTTTTTTGCAGTTGTTGACTCTCAAGGGTATGCGGTTTGGTGTTCACCATCTGTTTGCGGTCCAGCAGGTGTTTTGATTAATTTGTGTTCTATATCAACAAAATAGGGAAAAAAAAAAAATTGCGTCCTGGGAGGGGACATTTTTAATGTCGTGCTTGAACTGGAAATCGAAAGCAGTTTTAAAGCACTGAAAGCCCACTTGGCAAAAAAAAAGCAAAAAAAACAAAAAAAAAAAAGCCTGAAGGAAAATCCATTGAAAAGAGATGGATTGCCTCAAGGGAACAGGCTAATGCCCTGTCCTTCCCTTTCTATTATTTGGCTCGTGTCCGCTCTCCCGCTGAGCTCATTCTTCTCCTTCCTTCCTACTTTCTGAAGGATTATGAAGGAAACAGTGCAGTCACATGGTGGATTATAAACGCTGCTTTTCTCCACCATACACTGAACAACAGCCTCCTGTAAGTTTTTTTCTTGTTCTCGTTATCTTTTGAGGACAAATCACTCCCCCCGCCGAGGGCATCTTGGTGTCCTGTTTTGCTCGGTCATGTGAGATTTCATCCCGTCTAATGAAGTGTAATGGAATTTCAAAAGAAGCGGTGTTACAAAAGTCACTGTAGCGTAATTGCTCAGATTCAAAGGAGCATTCGTGTTGAAATTGGAGGTAAAGCCTGCCGGTGAAACCTGGAACATCCTACAAGCATCGTGGGATCACTCAGGTTATATTGACGAGATTTTTACGACGCTTAATAGGAACAAATAATCCTGTGTTCCCTTGGTCTGTTTTTCCAGAGCGTCACAGCACATAATGGGCACTCAGAACTGAGGTGCAACCACACCCAAGGGTTACACCGACATTCCGCGAGGTGCCCAACACGTTATGATGGAAACTTCATCATCAGTGCTTTGAGAAGTAAAAAAGCAAACATTGCCAACAACTTTTTCACAAAAAGTGGCTCTGACACTTAAACAAAAAGTGTCTCTGACACTCCTCCAACCTCACAGTTACATATCAACAAGTCAAAATGATTTATCACCGTTCACCGTACTACTGTTACCGTCACTTGTGAACTCCAAGTCTTTGATCTTGTTGTGGCTGATCACGTGTCTACTTTTAGAATGTGTGTGTAGGAGGAGTGTGTGTCAGAGCCGAACAGGGAGGATACCCAGTTAATGCCTGAGGAAAACCATTATAATGAGAATGTCTCATGGGCGATTTTGCCACACAAACCTGAGCAAAAACATAATGGATGGGTGTGTGCGCGCGTGTGCGTGTGTGTGTGTGTGTGTGTGTGTGTGTGTGTGTGTGTGCGTGCGCGCGCCATTACACAGCAGGTGAATGTCCATGCGTGTTTGACGTGAGCTGACATTCCAGACATACTGCAGCAAGCTCAAAGCTCCAATAACCACTGAATGTGATGAAGGACACTGTATGCGTGCCCTTTGCAAACTTAAAAGGTCCAAACTGTCCTCTTGCATGAGTGTTGGAATGCAGGAAGAAATTAATTCGAACGAAAGTCAAACACATACCATTTTATAACGCGCTGCTGGATGCTTACACGCTTGAGAAACTTTTAATGACTTGAGCTTTTAATTATTATTTTTTTAAAAATGTGATTAACATTAAAATAATAATTACAATAAAATACATAAAATTAAATAAGACAAGAAAACCTTTATTTGTCCCACACTGGGAAATGTGCAAATATAATAATAATACTATATTATAATAATAATAATAATAATAATAATAATAATAATAATAATAATAACAATTATTATTATTATTATTATTACAAATAAATAATGCCTAAAAAAGCCGAGAAGATAAAAAAAAAAATGAAATCTCCAAAAATAAGATGAAAAGAATAAAAGGCGGCCCAGACCCAGAGAATGCAGTTCCTAAAAAGAGAACTTTCCATATGGTTGAGATCCAGCTCAGCGGAGGATGCTCTGAAGGAATATCGAGGGAGGCAATTAAGTGGGAAGGAATCACAAGACAAATAAAGACGCACATGGTCCATGTGTGTGGCTGTGTGAGTCAGCTGTTGCCGTCTAAATGTTGGTCCTCTCCCCGGCTGTCACCAGCCCAAACACATCTGGAAACTCTTAACGCTCTGACTGTGACGCACAAAAGTTGCAATCACAAACACGCACGTCAAGACCGTTTTTTATTAATACTCGCCGCATCATGCCTGAGACTGGGTGGGGGTGGAGTGTCGAACACATGACTGAAAGTGTCCCACAAGAACACACAATCTTACTTTCGATTCCCGTTAAACAACGTGAAAAATGAAAATCTGATGACGTATTTCAGCGATAGCATTCAGTTTCAGCCGCCCCGATCCTTGTTTTATTTCTCCGATTCTATCAAGTAAGTGGCACTTCCTTGGTGGTGTTCTAAGGTCGGTGCTCATGTGCCACCTTTTTCCACTTTATACTTGCGGCACTTCATCTCCTTGAACAGTTGCATTGTGGGTGTGCGGTTACAATTGACTTATCCGTCATGTGATGTCACTTCCTTTTTTTAAATTCTGAGACATCATTCCGGTTAAATTACACTTGCATTCAATGTAACGTTAAAACGCAGAACGACGGACTTGGTATGCAATGAATCATGAGAATCTAATGGTCTCATACCACTGTCTTCACCACATCTGCTGCACACGCAGTTTGAAAATGGCCGCACTCACCTGTTGCTCCCTCCGTCTGTCTCGGTGACTCTTAATCCACAAATTGTCAAAAGGTTCCTTCAGTTTTAGAAGAGTTCTTTCGACTAGTTTCTATCACGTCTGATCCTTCTCAGCGCGGCTCACTCCAGCCTTGCTCCGTTCCTGCTCCAAATTGTGGGAGTGCCGGACTTTTCCCTGGCCAAGCCTTTTCCTCTTCTTCTTCCCCTCCTTTTCCTCCCCTCCCATCTCTTTCCTCTCCTCCATAAAGCCTCTCCTCTCTCAGCAGCATTCCTGCCGGGCTGCCGGCTGAGCTGTGATGTCATAGCGCACGAGCGTGCGTATGTGTGCGTGTGCGCGCGCCCACTCCTCCAGATGCCCTCACGCACAAAGATGCCTTCTGTGCAGACGGGCCGGCAAACATCCATCCTCCCTATTGCTGCTCTCACCTCCCTTCCTGTCTGACACCAAGCCACTCCTACCTTGTCCTGATGGACAGATGATGAGTGATGAAAGGTGGAGGAGATGATAAGAGGGGAATGGCATTTTATTCGGCCATCGTCATTATTTTAGGCACTGTTGGCTCAGTCGCAAATACAGTGTGTGTGTGTGTGTGTGTGTGTGTGTGTGTGTGTGTGTGTGTGTGTGTACATACTGTATATAGTCCATGTTTGGTAACGGGATCACAACAAAGGAAACCAGAGATACGGAGTCATGGGCTCACTTTCTCTGGCCTTTTACGAGCACTCGCTCAACACACTCCACCAAATATGCAGTTTTAAGTCAGTCAATATCAGAATAAGCGCGGTGAATCATCAGTCTGGCTTTTCCAACAACAATGTGCATTGGCTTGGGTGGAATTTAGCTGTGCCAGGTTTTGTACAACAAATGTGACATCAATGCAGTAAAAAGGAACATGAATTTAAGATTAAGGCAATATTTGCAAAGATTTTTTTTAAAGCCTCTAAGATAACCAGCAGCAGACACAAGTAACCGTTCTGAACTACAGCAACCAGTTTCCAACCACGATACACTGCCTGAGACACATTCTCATCTTCAATAATCTGTCTGTTAAATATACAAAAATCTCATATATGGCTCAGCATTCGTCAAAAACACAGCACAACTCTTACTAATCCTTTTTAGGGACGGCTTTGGAATACCTTGATGGCTATAGAGAAAAATAAATAAATGCATCTAATAGAGGAAGGGATCTGCCCCCTTGCCCTCTTCACCCTCTTACGCTCTCAAAACTCTGAATCCTTTTTCGATTCCAGTGTCGTATAATCGAAAAGAAATAATGTCAATGGAGGTCCAAAACACATCCTTCTTCGGGGTTTCAAAGGCCAAGGCATTGTTTTATGAATGACAAACAATCTCCTTCCTTGCCAACAATGCATTCAATTTTCTGAAAATAATAAACGTGCAAAAGAAAAAAA